GGGCTACTGGGTGGACAACTGTAGTATATATTTTAGCCTTGAGTTGTTCAGGCATTTTTGAGTCACACAGAATGCCAGTAGTTTGCCGCCATTTCAATCAGGCTGCATTTATTCATGACCATACATCTAGCATTGTGTTGCCATCTATGGAGACCACTGACCCTAGGTATTTAAATTGGGTGGCCTTCTTTAGTGCTTGTCCATTAATTTGAATTGTTTTTCCAGTTTGAAGGCCATATTCCAAATACTCTGTTTGGGTATGTTCAGTTGAAGCAGCATTGTATTCAACAATACAATGCTGATAGATAAAATAGTGGCAGATAAAATGGGCACTAAGACTATAGTTTGGCTTCATAAGGTAGTGAGTTTTAGACTTAGGTCTGCTTCAAGAAACACTGATTTTCTCCAAGACCATCGGAAGAAAGCTTTTCAGGTAGTCTCATATAACTCAGGAGTGGAATATTGTCTGGAAGCCAAGAGTGAAATGACCACCTTCTCAGAATGGCCTGTGCTCAAATAAAAGCTGTGTTCAGTTGCCGGACAGCTAGGTGGAGTCAAACAGAGTGCAGACTGGGGCCCTGATTGAGAATGTTGGGCATAACAGAAAGAGGTAGATGTTCTTGGGTCACCAAGGCTATCGGGTGGAAGAACCAAGGTCTGTGAGGCCCGGGAAAAGCTGAAAATGACTATCACTTTTTCCTGCCACATCTTCTTGAGGATATATCTGTGGTTTGTTTCTGATGTGAATAGGTCAGTCTGTAATTCACTGAAGTGTGTCTGCATCTGTTGAAAGACAGCTATCTCCGGGCTCCATTCTTCTGGATTTAGAATGTATCAACTTAAGAGGTGTGCTTCTCTGTTCAGAGAACCTTGTATAAGGTGAGTTTGAGAAGCTCTTCATTGGTTTTGTTACGTTATTCTTTCTGGAAAAAGGGCAATGCAACTATATCTGGTGTCTATTCAGGGAATCACATGAACAAACTTCTGAGTTGGGCAGAGGTGACTTTTCAGTTTGTTTATCCAAAAGCCACAGCTTTGGAAAACAAACAGGATAGTCATTAGGAGTTATTCTGCTCCTAGAAGTTTGTGAAAGTACATGTGTGATGAAGTATGGATAAGAATATGAAAATAAGCTTCCAAAGGGAAAAGTTCGTCTCCTAGGAAAATATGCTCCTTTCTTGGACACCATGAAGAGGACTGAGAATGCTCCCATGACTATTTTTTTTTTTTTTTTGGAGGAACAGATTCTAGGATTCTCAGATCTAACAGGTGATAGATGTTATGACGCACCCCTAGGTTCTTTGAGAAGTTTTGGAAACTGGAAACATCAGAAAATGATGCCTTGGGGTTTTTCTTAATTGAATGCTATTGAATATGTCAGTCCTTTAAGCTTGGTATCAACCATGGAAGAAACTGAATGTAGCCATTAATCCTGATCAAAAATAGCATAGAAATTGAAAAAGCATTGGAAGTACTTGGTTTCTATGTTCAAAATGACTGTCTGCTTGATTCTCAAAATAGCAACTGCATTGCAACTGGGGGCATGGGTGCAATTTCTGAGATTGCTGCTTGGTTTCACACCTGTCTACGAGACTCTTCTCGTGAGCAACTTTGGAGACATAGTAATCTCAACTGATTGAGGAGAGGCAGCTGGAGAATTAAAAACAGCCCCCTCTTCTATCCCTATAATGCCTTCTGATTGTTTATCAGTGCCAGCTGAAGTACATTTGGACTCTATCAACTGAGGTCTTGAAGTGAGCTCAGTAGCCTCAGACTTGTCAAGGTTGGAGGCAAAACTAAGGTCAATTTCTAAATGTTTAATACTCCCTTGGGCTAAATCAACCACGCAATTGACATCTCCATATGAGGTGGCTGCAGTAATAAGGGATGTTTCCAGGTTTTATGGGAGGCAGATAAGAATGGTTGCATGTTTTTACTACGCAGTTATATCTGGGCACTGACTCTGGGCAATGTCTTTGTTTTTGTTTTTTTACATCTCCTCTCCAAAAGAGCAGGTGAAATGAAGAAAGAAGGACGTAAGGGGGTGGGAGTAAAGAAAAGAGATCTTAAAAAATATTGCTACCTGAGAGAGCTAACGGAGCAAGGGCTTTTTTCAATGGAAGAAAAGAAGAAATTAATTAAGGGAAAAACAAAAGAGTGAAGTATAAGATCTTTCCTGGGTGAGGCAAGGTGAAAGAAGGAGCCAGGGATCCAACAGGAAATACTTTTTAAAATATTAAAATATTTTAAAATACTTACCTTGCCCAGCCAGTTACAGTAATTTATGTCGCCCTCTCTGCTGGCTGAGAACACAAAATCAAGACTGGAAATATTCTAATAAAATCTAGCTAAACATTTTAGCTCCTCACACATCTGCAAAACTGAACTCTCAAACTTCTTTAAGGAAAGAAGGGTCAGGATTCTCTTGGCTGCAAGAGACGAAGAAAGTCTGGAAAAGGAAAGATATTCTTGACCCACCAAAATGGAAGGAAACTTTCGAAGTCGCTTTATTTGCAATTTGTGCAGTTCCTCCTTTCAGATTTCTTGCTAAATCACCTTTATAATCCTAACTTAAAAGAGACATTGAGCAAAGATTCTGGTATCTAGCCAACCACACTGCCCAGGCCAGAAGGCACCATCTTTTCTCCTATAGATTTATTTACTGCTTTTATATCTCGCCCTTCTCATCCCAAAGGGCACTCAGGGCAGCTCACAAACAAAGGAACAATTTGATGCCACATATACATACATAAGTAAGATCAAATATATAAATTAAAGCCAATAGTTAAAACATATCAATCATAAAACAAGTTAGTTAAAACCACGCAATCCAAAGACATATTCCAGTAGCCATTTGGGTCGTAAATTGCACTATTCTATAATTACTTAATTGCACTGAATCTTACTGTTCGAAGGCTTGGTCCAACATCCATGTATTTACTTTCTTTCTGAAGGTCAGGAGGGAGGGAGTGGACATGATTTTACTGGGGAGGGAGTTCTATAGCTGAGGGGCCACCACTGAGAAGACCCTTTCTCTTGTTCCCACCAATCGTGCCTATGAAGGAGGTGGGATCGAGAACAGGACCTACACAGATTATCTTAACCTGGGAGATGGTTCATAGAGGGAGATGTATTCAAAATGATAAACTGGGCCAGAACCGCTGTAGTGTACAAACTTACACTACAGTGGTGGTGTCAAACTTATGTTCACTGAGTGTCATATCAGCTTTAGGGTTGCATTCAAAGGTTTGCAATTGTAAAACTGTATAAATATGTTACCCTGGCATTGAAAGCTTTGTCGGCTACATAAAATGAGGCAGGCTGTATTTGGCATGTGGGCCTTGCATTTGGCATGCGTAGACTATAGGATTCAAGTTTTTTTACACTTCCTTTTCTTTGAATGGTAGATCACCACTTCATACCACAAACTGCCTGTGATGTACTCCTCACTTTTCAGAAGAAATTGATTGCAAGGCATTCAAATTCAGAAAAAAGTCTTATATCTATAATTTTAAGAATGTAAGAATTCATGTTATAGCACACAAAGACTTGTCCAGCCTACTATTCTCTGTCCAAAGCTGGCAATCAGACGCCTATTGGAAACCCACAGGGAGAATATCAGCAAAATAGCACTCTTCCATTTTATTCCACTATAACTAGTATTTAGAGGGATACTTTCTCTTATACTCTATACAATAAATAGCAATCATTAGTCACTATTGATAGCAGTATGCTCTATGATCTTATACAATTTTTTTAAAAAAGATGTTCTAGTTGGCAGTCATCTGGTTGAAGCAAACTCTATAATTCAATATCATTCTTTGAAAAAGTACTTCCTTTTATTTGCTTTGAATATCCTGTAATTTTTCTTGAATAGATGACAGCAGAATACAATATTATAAAAGTTAAAAAATTTCCTATCCATGTTCTCCACAAAATACATAATAATATATCTAAATCTTGTCTCTCATCACATTTTTCTAAACAAAAAAACAAATGTTAGTAACGCCTCTAAATTATTTTATTTTCTACTCTTTTTCTAGCTCTTGAATACATTTTGAGTTTTGTTGACCAGAACTGTACATAACATTCCAAGCAATACTAAATAGGAAACACATCCTACAAATTCTCATATTAAATGGCGAAGTTACACACATATAAAACAAACAGAAGAGCCAGACTAAGTCACTCCGTCACCTACAACACTTGATGACTGCACAATAAAGCAACAGCTTGCGTGCAGCAATACATAGATCCCCACAGATCAATCATTTCTAACAGAGCCAGTTGATATCCCAGCTGTAACTTATCAAAATGCCCACTGAACCAGCACACAGTGTCATACAGTCAGCTTCATGTGTATGATATGACCTTGCAGTGCTAGTTGTACACCTTGGTCAGCATGACTACCTTTTTAGTTGAATTGACACCTACACTTACTCAAAACTTTAAACAAGTCTAACTGTGATTTCTCAATATAAGAGTAACAAGCATTCATTTTTTTACTTCCAATTCAAAAAGTATTATCTGCCGAAAACTGAACATCAATTCTTAGAAGTTACAATACAAAGAAAAATAGTATATACTTCTGGTTTTTTAATATATATATACACATACACACACACACACACACACACACACACACACACATACATACATACAGAGAGAGAGAGAGAGAGAGAGAGAGAACTCTTCATGCATATAGTATCTATCTTTTTCTATTTGATTCAGAAAGAAACAAATTATATGTTTCATGCTATCAAGTGGATATTCTTCATCCTATGGCCTGGATAAAAGGTGAATAAATGAAACTGGCCACAGGTGAGAGGAGATCGTTTCTGTTATAAATGTAGACCAATAAGCTAATTCTGTGTGAAAAAACCCTTAAAAGATGCAATGTTTACATTTTAAAATATTCTATCTCTGTTATATAGAAGCAGCCTGTATTCAATATAGCACCACCACCCCTTACACACGCACATTGTAGTTTTTCACAGTACCTTTGCAAAAGCTGCTGCCGTCATTTGGACTCTTCCTTCATCAGAAGCATATATTTTGAGATCATGCCGATAAGTACTATGTAATCTAAGCAGACCACATCCAGGAAATCCAGCATAGTCTCCTACCAAAGAAAAATAACAATGTTATAATCTGAAAGTGTATTTTTTTCTTATTGTAAAGATACAACTTTTTCTCTTAGTAGTACAAGGGCAAAATAGATACCTTGACCTCCTGGATACATGCACCGAAAAGCTCTTCCTAGTTCTTCTGCCTGAACTCTACCTGCAGGTGTCAGTTCTCCTCCCCATTTTAGAACTAACAACAGAGATGGCTCTTGCTTGCGGTTATCTAGATGTAAGCCAAAAGAAAATCTATCAGTACGTCTTAAGAATTACAGAATGGCTACATTGAAAAATACTGGGTTTTTTTTGTATTATATAGAAAAAACAAAGAACTGTGAAATTATTTTAATGCATCACGGCTGAATGAGACTAAATTGCCACTTCTCAAGCTATATGGCAAATTTCTTCTGACACCAGAAGAGTATTAAAAGCTGCTGGTGATAAAACATGTGGAAAAGTGAGGTCTATCTTTCAACAATATACTTTTTAAAGAAAAATTGCATTCTTAGTCCAATTCTACATAAGTTTCGCATAAATCCCACTGTGTCAAGTAGACCTAATCACCGGTAAATGGTCTTAGGGTCTCATCCTTAGTATGCATCAGCCCTTGGTGTAACTTATGAATGGGGAAAAACATTTAAGAAATCAACTAAAACAAAAAAAATGTACTTCTTAGTAATTAAGATTCCAATTTTGTTTTTCTTGGTAATTTTTTTTTAAAAACACCCATTCATGTTAAGATAACAGACAGATTAATGCTGAGTTAATAAGTTCTAAGGAATGAAACGGTACCTTCTTCTTCACTAGATGTTTTCGGACAACCATGAGGAAGATACGTTAGCTGAACTTTGCGATTTATACCAGAAAAATGGCCATACCTAAGGACAAAATATGCAGAGTTGAGGAGGATTGGCTCTAGATAAGCAAATATTACAGATATTGTAATACAACAACAAATGATTAATTATAAATTCAGCTTTGGCACATGAAATAAAGTTCACCTTCAATAAATTTATTCAATTATTTCATGCCATATAAAAAGTAGAATAATGTTGCTACTAAAATTTCCAGTTACAGCTCAGCTTGACACAGAGTTCAAAATGTATTTCAGTATTAAAGGAAATCTTTCAAAAAACAGAATCTCCAAATTAAACACTTACATCTCTAGCACAGTTTTCAGCTGTTCAAGTTTAGATTTATTTTCTTCAATTTCAGAGTCATTGTTTTGTCCAAGTTCTATTAAGAGCTGTCTTGCAATATCAAGTACTTCCTAAAAAAACAGTAACAATTTTAGTAAGGAATATATGCAAACTATGCGTGTATACGTAGAAAAAAGAGAGAGGAATGTACCTGCAATTGTTTTGGTTTTTTCAGTTTTAGTTTCCCTGATTTGTAGCCATTGCATCTTTCAAAAAGATCAAAAAACCTTTAAAAAAACACATGGAATGATCAGAGGAGCAATTAATTATTTTACCACATGTAATTAGATACAAATCATAGGGTTGTAAATCTAGTTGTGGATGGTCAAAACAGCGGAATTATGCATTTCCCATGTATTTAGTGATGTCTTCATCCTTCCTGAGATTAGAAGCACATTGTATCTTGTGGACATTTTATTCTGCATTCCCATGACTTAGTCATGTTTTTGAAATAATCGATATTAACACATATGATCCAGAGCTAAACTTTTACTTTATTTATGTAAAAGATATATATACCTCCCTTCAGTAATTTTACAGCAGTTGTCAAAAACACAATGTACCGATATAACAACATTATATTTGATGATATATATATATATATATATATAAGTGCAAGGAAATAAAAAACATAATTGCTTGACTATAAAGATAATATTTGAATTAGGCATATCTTGTGTAGAAGTCAATTCTCCAAACAGGTCACTGCCATTAATAAGTCTCTTGCTCTCTTTCTCTGGACACCAGCCACCATAATTCAGAGAGGATGACCAAAAAGACCTTAACACAAAGGCAAGCTGTTAAGGAAGTTGTTGTTTCTTTAAAAAAAGTAAAAGTTTCCCCTTGACGTTACGTCTAGTTGTGTCTAACTCTGGGGGATGGTGCTTATCTTAATTTCTAAGTCGAAGACTGTCTGTAGACGCCTCCAAGGTCATGTGGTCGGTATGACTGCATGGAACACCGTTACCTTCTCACCAGAGCAGTACCTATTGATCTGCTCACATTTGCATGTTTTCGAACTGCTGGGTTTGCAGAAACTGTGGCTAACAGTGGGAGCTTACTCCGCTCCCCAGATTCAAACTGCTGACCTTTTGGTCAGCAAGTTCACCAGCTCAGCGGTTTAACCCGCTGCGCCACTGGGGGCTCCTTGTTTCTTTATAGTACAATTTAAATCTGGAAGTACTGAAAATGGATTTAGATCATGTTTTATGATAGAATCTTGTATGTCCAGTTTTTATTTCTCAGTTTATTCATATGAAAGACACCATGGAATGAAGTAGCCATTGACCTTCTCATTGATATTTATCTGGAAAAATATTTCAGAGCATTCCCCAACCATACCATATCCTGCTGCTTCCCTTACAAATCTTGTAATGCAGTAATATTAATTTCCTGATAGCACCACACACAGAGATAGTTGTCGGCATAAAGCAGAAACTCAGAAATTCACAATTCCAACAGAAGGCATTAAATACGCACCATGAAAAACTAGAACCAGAAAACTACAGATCCAAGTTAAAATGTTGTAAATAATAAATAATAAAACCAAGGAGAGGTCAAAATGGCAGTAATAACATTTCCTCAATAATCAGTTCTTAAAATATGTATTAAAACTATACAAATACATATTCAAGACGCCTATTATTCCAATGATCAACTTGCTGGCACAATTCTTACAAGCAATCGCCCAAATTATTTCATTCCATTTTTTCCCCACCAATCATTTACCTTTGATGTTTAACTTCCATTTTCATTTTTTGCTTAGGTGTCCGATCTCCATGCCGTATAACAGCAATGACACATCTAAGTTCCATCCTGCAAGTATACAAAAGATACGTTTTGTTTTAGTAGTAGGCCACTGTTTAATATTGCAAAGTATGCTTCAATGTTTTAATTGTTTATTTGGTTGTTATATGTTTACTGTGTTTTAAAATGTGTTTTATTGGGTAACCTGTTATTACTAGGCTTGGTCCCACTTGTAAGCCCCCCCCCCTCCCCCGAGTCCCTTCAGGGAGATGGTGGCGGGATATCTAAAAAAAAGTAGTTGTTATTGTTATCATGATATGTTCACCTTAGGGTCGCCATAAGTTGGGAATTACGTGAAGGCACACAACAGCCGTACACTTCAGTAAAGGAAAGTGATGGTAAACTGTATGTTTTTGCCTCCACTTATGTTCCTTGACCCTCTGTATAACAGCAATTCCTCGTGCAGAAGCATAAAAATCTACGTTGTTTTTATGCAGAAGCATAAAGATTCTCGTTGTTCTAACTGGCACATGATATCCCTGAAGAGTATACATAGTATATATACAAAGTACACTGTATTATCTCCAGCACTCCTTCCCAGAGTTAGTTTGGGTGTTCAGGAATAGAAGCCATAAAGACATTCACAAAAAGGGATGAAGCAATAAGGCTTGATAACCAAACCAGATTTTGATACATCCGAGAGATCAAATTGGACTGAGGGAACTCACATAAGATCACAAACCTCTGTATAACAGCAATTCATCACAGACCAAATGATTCTAAGCCAAAAGTGATAACTCTGATAGATGAAGGAAAAAATCAATCAGTTTTATAGGAAGTCTGCATTATTTAGGCAAAATAACATTTAATTCACATTGTTCCAGATGTAGTTGGCACTATAGGAATATCTTCTGCTTCCAAAGGTATCGACCATGGGATCTGAAATTGTGGCGCTAGTTCTCGCATTACAATATTTCTAAATGAAAGAAAAAGAAAAAATAAATGTTTAGTTAAATAGTTTATCCATAAAATACTTAAAATACTTAAAATGTTAAACGTTTCTCCATAGGAAACTGAATATGATCTATGAAACAATCCAGTTGTTGCAAATCATTATCAGCCAAAATATATAAATGAATAGATTTATATTGGTAACGTTCAGCATCCAAATATTGTTAAACATCTGCCTGTGATTCTTTAAAAACAACTCTGTTCTAATCAGCCAGATCAGTATTGGTCCACTGTTCCGATATCCTAGGGAAAGAATTTGCACAGACAATGCCAATAGTAGTGGGACTCAATACAGTCTATGATCAATATGACTGATAATGTTCCAATGGTGAAAAAGCAGAACTTCATAAAATGAGAGAAATAATCCCTTCTTTCCTCTGCAGTCTCATATGCCCCACAAAAGACTGTTCCAGAGGATTTGATCAAGAGTGAAGAATGTGTGGCTCAAGCCATCAGATCTCAGTTTTTTTTCCCAATTAGGTTTTCTACCACAAGCACCCTAAATGCTAAAACCATCTCCCCACTGAATGAAAAGGAAACTGAAGGTGATGGGGGCTACAGTGTAGAGGGAAGAGGAAAGGAAGAAATTTTCATTGTGTTGTTGCTGCCATGAGAAGGCATATGAAATATCATTACCATGGTTACTGATATAGCTCAATAGTAAGCCATGACATCACTTGAAGTGTGTCCTAAAAGTCTCTAGAGGATACTGCACTTTTGATAGGATCAGAAATATGACAGTTCCAAGTCAGAACCGGTTCATTTTTAAGTAAAATTCATGAGACATCCAAATGACAAACTCCAAATTAATCTGATTTAAATAGTTCCATTTTGAATTGGGTTAAGAAAACCCTGTCAACACAAACTAGAGAAAAGAGGCATTGCTAGCCAAAGGAAAAATGCTTGCAAACTAAACTTTAATAATATTCCAAAATATTTGGAATATTCACTGTCCTTGTAAAATGAACAGAAAATTAATAAGTTTCTTTCTGAAACATGAAACTCACCCCCCCCCCCCAAATATATGTTTTACACTAAGAATCTGAGAGTGAGAACTTGCAAAACAGGTCACCAGTGCCTGAAATGACCTTTGAAGTCTTTTGCACACACAACCACTGTCTATTCAGGGGTGGGATAGGAGAACATCTGACAATATTCCTATAGTCAAATACAGTCATCAAGAGTCGTCAGTATCTTCACGAGGTGCCAGTAGATGATGTAATCATTTTGTGTCTATCTACAGAAACATAGCCAGGTACTTCTCTGACACATTCCCACACTTTCTCCACTGAATGGCCCTCAGGAAAGCTATGGTAGTTACATTCTGGCCAACATCTATTGTGTTTTGTGACTTTATAAAATGTAGATTGCCCCTTTAATGTTTCAATATTTTAAGTCATCCTGTGAATACTGTTGTTGGATAGCATATAATTCTGTAAACCAACTTGTGACACTCCAGAGGTTGTTGAATTACACCACCCAATAGCTCATGAGAAATACTGGCAAATGAAGTTCAACAACCTCTGAAGAGGTACACATTGTCAACACATACTCAACAATAACATACCCAAACAAATACATTTAGTTCTTTGAGGCAAGGAAATGTAACAACTATCTGAGTCAACTTCAATTTTTTTCCCTAAATTACAAAACTCCACTACCAGTTCTATACAACAGTAATCACATTACAGAAAAATTACTCATAAAACTATTACTTATGACCAGTTTTCACCCTAAAGCAGAAGCTTAATAGACAGAGTACTCATCTGTTTCACCTCATGAACTGCAATAACTATTTAACATATGAGAAATGTTGCTTAATGGAGATATCATTAACGAGATATCTTTTTTATATCTCATCAGGCTTTAGCTTCAATTTGCCAAAAAAGGGGTCATCAGAATGAAAGGCTATAATGTACTCTGCTGTCTGAAACATTCCAAAAATCAATCTCTTTTCAAAGACCTGCCAACACAAAGTAATAATGATGAATTTCTATTAGACTAGTTGTACAAGAAAGTATGGAGGCTTCTAAAATCCACAAACACAGAGATATTCAGAAGATGTAACTCCTTGATCAAGTAGGATAGGCTTAGCATTAAAGAAGGTCATGAAATTTAAAAGGTATCAAGAATAAAGAATGTTAAATATTAATACAAATGGAATACAATTGTGTGTATTTCATAAATTGAAAAACTGATTCCACTACATTAATACTGCATTACATCACAATATCCTTCCTAAAACAAGCATATCTAAGACTGTGAATACAAATTCTAATCAAGGTAGTCATTGACAAAATAGGGTTGAGATATAATGTGAAACTTCCAAAATTTAAGACTTGGGAAGTTTGATGGTGATAAAGATGCCTTATCGTCTGCAGCTATGGGATCAACTTGTCATATGATCCTGAGCTCTAGGTGGTTCAGAGTTCATAATCAAACCACCTGTGAGCACTAGCTTTGAACAACCAGAAGGGATAATGTTTGTAGCTGTTCACTCTATTGTTCAATGGCTAATTTAGAATTGGTACTGAAAAACCAACATAGCACCTCTGAAGCGGTGAGAGGGAAATAGGGTTTTGGAAGCAAAGAAAGTCAAAGGTGGTGGTGGTGGTGGTGGGGTGTCTGGATGGCAAGGAAAAGAGTCTGGACAGCGAATTTGGGGGGGGGGGTCTGTGCCCTGGGAGGATTTTCCTGCATTTCTCAGGAGGAGGAAAGAGGAGGAGATGGGAAGCAGCATGGTGCTGTGGAGCCTCTCACTACCATAGTTTAAGAACCCTTGCTCTATACGAAATGCAGTGCACTTCCAAAAGCCTTTGGCTAACCCAAATTAATTAGATGATTAAACTACAAAAAAGTGCTCTGTTAAAAAAAGAAAAAAAGTCAGACAGGCAATATCCCATTTTAAAGTTCATAAAAACTTACTCAGGGTTTACACTCAATCCTTACCCAAGAATTTTAGCACAGTCATCATAATATTTCATAGAGTTCTTCACAAAGCTAAACCCATTGACATCACAGACATAGGATTGTCCATTTGCACGTAACAGATCAAAGCCACAAACTGTTTGCTGCCAAGAGAAAAATACAGATTCAAATGTTTACAAAGGCTTATGTTTTCATTTTCATCCATAATCTTATATGGTCAAAACAAACACCAATGCTTTACTAGTAACAAACAGGCTAATTAGTGAACTCTTGAAAGGACCCTTGGATTTCATATCCCTCCAAATGGTTATTCTTCATCCTATCCCATTAAAGCGCCAACACAGATTCATAAAACAATTTACAATACTAAAAATCCTAAATGCATATTTCAATCTGAAGCAGCTGAATTAGCAAAGGCACAAGACCTTGCTTTCAATTTTGTGCGAAATAGCCTCTACTGATATTCTTTTTTCTCAATGGACTTTCTCTTCTAATAACAGAGGCAGGCAGATAATTTTATTAGAACTCAAAGGTCAGGGATATCTACTATGCTAAAAAGAGCAATTTTTTATCCCTTATAAAAGAAAAAAAAATCAGAGAATAAACATCCAGTTTTGCTTGTGCACAAAGTTTACACATTACCTTGAAAGCGAGGCATACTTTCCAGGCTATCAGTTTCTCTCTTGCATTAAGAATGACTGGGTATCTGACTTCTTTTCCTTCACTGTCCCTCTCTACTTTTCCATCAAGAGCAGGGGACTTACGAGCTTCTGCATGTGCATAATCTGGTCCTACAGTGTAGACCTTTATTTGGGGAAAAGGGGATAGAGAATAAAGAAAGTGCATGACAAGTTTCATTTCATAGCATGCTCCAGCTTCAAGGCCTCTGAATTTGGGTTCATTTACTTTCACACGATAGGGAGATTAGAGATAAGCTCAAAAGGACTAAATAGTTCAAAACTATAATTTATGTTATAACTGATAATACAACTTTGCTTAAAGTTTCATATTACCTCTGCAGCTGCTACAAATTTATTAAGCAGAGCTCAAATTTAGTTTGCTTACAACAATTGGCAGATTTCCAAAGAATATGCAATCAGCAAAAGCATGCTCTGAATCAATACCTTCCCTGTCCATATTCTCTGTGATACAGCTTGGGGTGAGTTCTCCAAAAGGAGAGCTCTATGGTTTAAAGTCTGCAATACATTTGGAAGACTTTAAATTAGCTCTTGGGATAAAAAAATGCATAGCATGAACTATAAAAGACAAGCTGAATTTGTTTGGAGTGCATGTTTACACTGTTTACCAAATCATCAATTTTAAAGGCATCAGAGTAGCCTCTCAGTAAAAAGTGGAAATTTTCTTTGTAGAAGCCCTCTATGCCTTACCAGTTGAAAAAGAAAGAGAGACAGAGAAATTACATCACCAGCTGAGACAGGGATCCATGTTATAAGCTGGACATTTTTGTCCCACACTTCACAAAACAAACACTGGCTATTTGGCACCGGAAAATTTTGAAATGGGATTGGAAATCATCAGGAGCAAGCTCAATCACACACACACACACACACAGAGTCTTAGAACAACTGCTTACAGATTGCACAGATCAATCCAAAACATTCCAATACATGGCTGGTGTTAAATATGATTTTATCAACTCTTCATGTTTATTCGTGTAAACTTAATTTTAAAATACTGGAAAACCAGATCTGGTCATATTTGGAGCTGCTGAAATCAACAGAACTTAAATAGACTAACTTATATCACAATGATCATAGTTAATCTATTCTAAGTATCTTGGGCCAAGCAGAGTGGGAAAAACATTTTATTTGGCAGACTTTCCCAAAAATAAAGTTTTAGGTCTAAAATGTTAGAATAATTTATTTTTCGGAAAATAATATTTATCTGAGTGCATGCTCAGAAAACAAAAAGAGAACAATTTCATCTGTATTTTAGAGCAGAACTGAGAGCAAATAAATTTTAAGAGAGAAATTTTTTTTGGAGAAGACAAAAGATGGTATCTGAACTATTTCAATGTAATAATAGAACTGCTTCAGACAAAGATAAGTTTCTCATGTAAAGCTGCTGAACTTCTTACCCACTTGATTGTTCTAAATATAAACCATAATATCCAGTTGTCATACCTTCACATCAGTGCCATCTGTAGGCATGAACTCCTCATAAATGTATGAACCTGTTTTCCTCACATTGCTTTCAGGAGAATAAACACTGCTTCTGCTGCCAATCTGAAACACATTTCCCATCAAAATTGTTTTGTACCAAGACTTCTCAGTTTATCAAATAAAATACATAAGCTTAGGAAGGTGTGAGTATGCTAAATATGACAGGAAACAAGGAAAGGGTTGGAATAAACTGACTCTCATCATCATCATCATCATCATCTGTAGCCAGCTTTCTCTCTCTCTAAAAGACTTAAAACGGCTCACAAAAAAATCAAAACAATACAATTGAAAACCTAAAAATATACAAACATTAAAATGGAATTAAATATCAAGAGTATTAAAAACAAACAGTTAAAACCCTTGAAACCAATTAAAACCTATCCATAGCTAAAACCACAGCACCATTGATTTGATCTTAAAATCTTCCTTCTGTAAAAGCCTACCAGAATAAAAAAAAAATTAGACTGTTGTCAGAAGAACTGGCTTCTCTGGGCAGGGAGTTCCAGAGTTGAGGGACAGCAACTGGGAGATAAGGCATGTTTTCTTGTTCCCATCAACCAAGCTTGAGATGAAGGTGGGATCAAGAGAAGGGCATCTCCTGAGGATCTCAGGGCCCAGGTAGGTTCATACAAGAAGAAGCAGTCAGCCAAATGCCCTTGATGTGAGCCATATTGGGTTTTAAAGATCATATCAGAACTCTGAATTGTTCCCAGAAACAAACTGGTAGCCAGTGGAGCTGCTGCAACAGAAGGGTTGCCTGATCCCTGTAGTCAGCTCCAGTCAGCAACCTGGCCGCAGCTCTTTGGACCAGTTGAACACTCTTCAAAAGCAGCCCCACAGTAATCCAAACAGGATGTAATTAAGGAGTGTATCACCATCCAAGGAATTCCTGCAGTTGGCACACAAGTTTTAAATGTGCCAAAGCGCTCCATGTTTTTTTTTGTTTGGGCTTTTTTGTGTGTGTTAGAAGCGACTCCAGAAACTGCAAGTTGCTTCTGGTGTGAGAGAATTGGCTGTCTGCAAGAACATTGCCCAGCGGATGCCTAAATGTTTTACCATCCTGTGGGAGGCTTCTCTCATGGGAAGCTGGAGTTGACATATGAGATCTCACCCCATCTCGTGGATTCAAACAGCTGACCTTCAGACCAGCAGTTCAGCTGGCTCAAGGTTTTAACCCATTGAGCTACAGAAACTTCTGACCACCGCAGATACTTGGGCCTCCAGGAAGTTATGCTGCCTCACCCTGTATAATCCCTACTGCAATTTCTTATCTATGTTAATTTCATACTATCCTTTTTGATCTATTATATTACAGGAAACATACAATGTATAAAAATTACCTGCAATTTTCTAGTTATTGCAATATACAATGTAACTACTGGAATTGAATCAATTAGAACTCTTTCACCTAAGATTATTTCCTTTTTACATTCCAGTGCTAAAAATCAAAAATTATTTTGAAAGAAACTGGAACAGATTAATTATTATTCATTTTAGTTCCATCACCTTCCGAAACAGTCTCTGACTTCCTCCACCAGCAGATGTTGGATAATAAATATATACATTGTGGTCTTCAGCACTAACAGGCTTTTCCACAAATGGCTTTTGGAATATTTCTCCATTCACTTCTACATGATCTTCTCCTTCAATCAAATTGCATTCTAGAAAATGAATATGAACAGCACGTTGAGTCACAAGCAAGAGTAAAGGATGGGGATGAGTAATATCTTATTTCCAAACTCTAAATGCACACTTTAAGAAACTTTATGACTTGCAGTGTTAAGCAATCATTGTGATTTTTGTCCAATGCCCACAATTGCATGTTTCCACATACATGACGGAAAAAAAAGGAAAAAAAATTGATAAAACTGGAGTTAAATATTACCTTGAACAGAAACACTCCAAAGTGCTACATTTTGTTGAACAGACCCATTTGTTCTGACTTAATATCTCGCCCGTTTTTTTTACTTCCTTTAATATGTAATGTTCTCTAAGCAAACAACTTTTATCTGAAACAATTAACAACCTGCCTGTTTATAAATTTCAGAAATATGAAATGAGTAATTTTGTGTGTAGAACTATGGCTGATTGTGCAATCGTACTTACATATATTCAGATCTGGCTTATAACATGTTTAATAGTACTAGTATCTAATAAGTATATTTAGTATTACAGTTGAAAAGGGTCTCTACAAGAAAAGCAGTTGACTGTATGACAAAACTCTTCCTTCGTTGTGCCATAGATGCATACCATCATGGAAACAATGGCACTATTGAAAACAACAGCCCAAATCTTTTGATAATTATTTCTAAAAGTTAAATTACCTTGGGGATTATTTGGATCACGGTTTAGTACTGCATAACGGGGAAGTAAAATACCTTCAGCTTCGAGAATACTATAAACTTCTCTCCTAAAAAAAGACACAAAATAATTCTGATCATTGAAATATTATGAATGGAAATGATTACTATGCATGGTCAAAAAACTAGCATATAAGATGTTTTCATTATTCTACTGACTATACAGGGGAATGCACCATTGCCAAAACCATTGAATTATTACAAGTGCAAACAGCAACATAATAAAGTGCTTTAAAATAATTATTCCAGCACAAAATTCAAAATGGATATTTATTTTCAACTATAATATTTCACTCCCTCGAAACCCAGATTTCCATTTTCCTGTCCCCTACTATTCTGTGAATGCCTCATATACTTAGTCCTCATTTATTTCATGAATTTGTTTTAGCTTTAAGATTTTGTATACTTTAGCTCAGGGTCAAAATGGTTGTCTGCTGAGACACTGGAAGTAGCCCAAGAAAGGAGGAAAGCAAAAGGAAACAGGGATAAGGGGAGATATGCCCAGTTAAATGCGCAATTCCAGAGGTTAGCCAGAAGAGATAAGGAACTATTTTTAAATAAGCAATGCATGGAAGTTGAAGAAGACAACCGAATAGGAAGGACAAGAGACCTCTTCCAGAAAATTAGAAACATTGGAGGTAAATTTCAGGCAAAAATTGGTATGATAAGAAACAAAGATGGCAGGGACCTAACAGAAGCTGAAGAGATCAAGAGAAGGTGGCGAGACTATACAGAAGATCTGTATAGGAAGGATAATAATATTGAGGATAGTTTTGACGGTGTGCTGAATGAATTAGAACCAGACATCCTGAGGAGTGAGGTTGAATGGGCCTTAAGAAGCATTGCTAACAACAAGGCAGCAGGAGACGACGGGATCCCAGCTGAACTGTTTAAAATCTTAAAAGATGGTGCTGTCAAGGTGATGCATGCCATATGCCAGCAAATATGGAAAACACAAGAATGGCCATCAGACTGGAAAAAATCAACTTATATCCCCATACCAAAAAAGGGAAATGCGAAAGACTGCTCAAACTTCCATACAGTGGCCCTTATTTCTCATGCCAGTAAGGTAATGCTCAGGATCCTGCAAGGAAGACTCAAGCAATACACGGAGCGAGAGTTGTCAGATGTACAAGCTGGGTTTAGAAAGAGCAGAGGAATGAGAGACCACATAGCCAATATCAGTTGGATAATGGAGAAAGGAAGGGAGTCTCAGAAAATTACCGTATATTCCGGCATATAAGACGACTGGGCGTATAAGACGACCCCCAACTTTTCCAGTTAAAATATAGAGTTAAGACGACTCCCACGCATAAGACTACACCCGCGTATAAGACGACCCCTGACTTTTGAGAAGATTTTCTTGGGTTAAAAAGTAGTCTTATACGCCAGAATATACTGTACTTCTGCTTCATTGACTATTCTAAAGCCTTTGACTGTGTGGATCATAATAAATTGTGGCAAGTTCTTAGTGGGATGGGCATCCCAAGACACCTTGTCTCTCTCCTGAGGAATCTGTACAAGGACCAAGTAGCAACAGTCAGAACTGACCATGGAACAACAGACTGGTTCAAGATTGGGAAAGGCGTACGGCAAGGCTGCATCCTCTCACCCAACCTTTTTAACTTGTATGCAGAACACATCATGCGATGTGCGGGGCTGGATGAATGCAAGTCGGGTTAGAAATTGCTGGAAGAAACATTAACAACCTCAGATATGGAGATGATACCACTCTGATGGCCGAAAGCGAGGAGGAGCTGAGTAGCCTTCTAATCAATGTGAAAGAAGAAAGCGCAAAAGCCTGGGTTGCAGCTAAACACAAAAAAACCAAGATTATGGCAACAAGAATGATTGACAACTGGAAAATAGAGGGAGAAACCGTGGAGGCCATGACAGACGTTGTATTTCTAGGTGCAAAGATTACTGCAGATGCAGACTGTGGCCAGGAAATCAGAAGACGCTTACTTCTTGGGAGGAGAGCAATGTCCAGTCTCGATAAAATAGTAAAGAGTAGAGACATCAGACTGGCAACAAAGATCCGCCTAGTCAAAGCCATGGTATTCCCTGTAGTAACTTACGGATGTGAGAGCTGGACCTTAGGGAAGGCTGAGCGAAGGAAGATCGATGCTTTTGAGCTGTGGTGTTGGAGGAAAGTTCTGAGAGTGCCTTGGACTGCGAGAAGATCCAACCAGTCCATCCTCCAGGAAATAAAGCCTGAATGCTCACTGGAGGGAAGAGGTACTAGAGACAAAGTTGAAGTACTTTGGCCACATCATGAGGAGACAGCAAAGCCTAGAGAAGACAATTATGCTGGGGAAAGTGGAAGGAAAAAGGAAGAGGGGCCAACCAAGGGCAAGATGGATGGATGGCATCCTTGAAGTGACTGGACTGACCTTGAGGGAGCTGGGGGTGGTAACAGTCGACAGGGAGCTCTGGCGTGGGCTGGTCCATGAGGTCACGAAGAGTCGGAGATGACTGAACGAATGAACAACAACAAAGCTCAGGGTCTCAGAAATCGTTTCTACTCTTCCTCCCACACACACTTTATTACTCAGTGGCTCGGTTCATGCTATGACTCTGTTGGAACTCACCACCTGATTTCAGAATTTAACATGATAATCTTGATGTTTGCTTGTTTGCTTGGCATAACCTTTTTTTAAAAAAAAGGCTCAAAAATGCCTCATATTCCATGTAAAAGTAGGCAGTTTTATTATAAAAATATTTCAAAATGGCTCTGAGATTGAGACAAGTAAATGCCTATATGCATCTACTGGGTTCACGGTTGATTCAAAATTAAACTTCTTACAATGCCATCCTATGCATGTCTACTCAGAATAAATCCTGGTTTATATTCAGGCAAATGCACCATTTCCTATGTTGGGGTAGACTTAAAACTCAGTGAATTTCAGATAATTTAGGACAATTTTCATAACATAACTGGACACCATTAGAATGATCTCACATACTTAAGTGGATTCTTGACATGACAGTTAACTCTCCATAGGTGTGGACTTTGGATTTATGGATTCAATCAAGTGTAGATTCAAAATGCACAACACAATACACAATCAAGTGATGAAAGAATGAAATGTGAGGCTGGAGAGACTTTAGGATCTGCGAAATGGTGGAAGATGTGATTCATGCTGAACACTATGCTTGGATTCCTAAATTTCACAGATCTGCTATCTCTTTAAAATATGCAAAGTTTACCCTAGGGCATATTCTATTATATTCTAATGCTTTCATGATGATAATTTATGTGGTACCACATTACTGGAATGGAAACTAAACTGATCTGTGATGTGACATATTTGACATTTGATTTAGTTAACACTCATCACTTTGTTAAGATGAATGTGTTTCTTTTCATACACATTTCCTTTATGTCGATATTATTCTCTAATATTAATATTGCCACGTTACAACTTTGTACTAGTTTTCTGTTCGGCATGTTAACTATGACTGCTATTGTGATCAAGTAAATAAAAATGAATTAGCAAAATTCAATCACATGATGCAACCACCTGTTCGCATCCAAGAATCACAGCCATAATTTTAAATGAATTCTAGAGGTGATGATATTTCCTTAAAGTCTCACTATGACTAAGATTCCAATGTGGCGCCATGCATTGAGATATATCTTGCTGGCATGATTGTGTATATGTGAGTGACAAAGGTGCCATGCCCCCAACAACGACAACAAAAAATCTATTGAAGGAAAGGAAAAAAGGAGCCCCATTGCTGAAGGGTGATTGGCGAGCAGTGGGCTTCCTCTCACCATAGGGCCCAGTTCATAGGGCTGGTCCATTCAATTTTTATATTCACTTGGATCAGGAAAAATAATAGCTGAAAGGGGTAAAAGGGGTATCCTATCACTCAACAAAGATCACTGCCTGAAGCAACAGAATTCCGGGGAGAAAGATTTTTCAATAGCACCTTGCTGTTTTCATTCCAGAGAATGACATGACCCCTTCTCTGTTCCTCTCACCTTTCCTTTCTTTCAACTGCTCCTTCTCTTCTTATCTAGTATAATCTCAGTGTTTATGTTTCCCCCTCTCTGCTATCCCTCTTCCTCTTATTGCTCTCTTTCCCCACTCTGTCTGTTTCCACTTTACCTTTCTGCTTTCCATGGCTTCTCCCTCTCTTCTTCTCACTTTTGCCAACCATGTGTGAGAAAAGAGCAAAAGAGAGAAAGAGGTGGATTGGAGCATTACCCAAACTCTATGACTGGCCACACAGAAGCCATTTTTGATTGCATTCTCAACATTTTTTAGGAATGCTATTGGTTCGAAAGGATTGGGAACCCTGCTCTGTCATGATCAATATACTGCCACAATCTCTTTCGTATAAAAGTTTGCTGAAATAAAAGTGCAGTTACTTCTTCTATGATTCATAGTAAGATACTTGCCTGTCTTGTATGTGATACTGCATATTCAAGTCATTAATAAGAAATGGACTCCTGAGTTTTGAATATGCTACTGCTTTGTCCAGTGGAAACCCTAAATAGAACATATTAAGGAATATTAGCTCACCAAAAGCTACATTTAAGTGGTTTTAAATGACTAGGCTAGGAGAGGAATAATAAATTATTGTAACTGAACTACATGGGCAAAGAGCTGTATATTACTTTTAAATACCTCATTCTGCAAACAGAACCTGGCTTTTAAGCAAAACATGCTAAGCATGATCCACTTTACTTTTTAAAGTCTTCTTTCAAGTTTTATACTTCATTGTAAACAAATAAAAACTTCTGATCTATGTATCAACACTATGCACAGGAGAATAGCTAGTTTCCAATGCCCTTGTTTAACTACTGTATCACAGTACTATAGGAAATTTCATATTTTGCCAAAGGAGATGACAACGATTCTTCGATTTATTTGTGTGTCATATTAGGATGCAAAGTGGCAAACAACTTTAGAAAACAAACATATAAAAGTTGAAAATTAAAATAGAATTAAATTAAATATAAATTTTCATAACTAAGATAAAAATATATTGCACACTACAGCATCTCTAAACACATATACTTGGAAATAAACCTCACTGGAAGCAGGATTTGCTTCTAAATATACGTGGTTATAGCTGCAGTGTTGTGCACAAATCTGTGCTCTAAAACTGTATTTTAAAACACAGAGTCATAACAGGATGGGTTTAGAATAGAGAAATAGGCCCAGGGGAAAGAGAAACATACCCTTTCCATGCAAATTGGAATAGTGTTTGTACCTCCTTGGACACTCTAGATTGGGACAGGGAAAGACAAGGTGAAAAACATTTCACTTTCCTTCCCCATTCTATTTCTTGCTATACGTTTTTCTCTACTTAAAATCATTTTATACTTTTAAAAAGAAACAAAAGGTCTTGTTACATAGTGTATTTAATATGTACTTTGCTCCAGACAAGAATACTGTAAGCATGGTAATTTATTAATATATCTCATAGAAATAAATTGACTTCCAAAAAAACCTGTTTTTGATTGAGATATAAAATGGATTAATATTGTCTTGTACCACTGTTTAGATATCTAACTGGTTTACTTTTTATTTTTAAAAATGCTACCACAAACAATTAGTAGTTTCCGTTATAATAAACTACTGGATAATTCCACATATATTGCTGACTGAAAACTTCTGACTAATATTCAACTCACAGCATTTATTTGAAGCACAAAATAATCCATAAGACCAACATTTTAATATATGGCAATCAGGATACTCTGACATTTTAAAACGAGAGCAATCACCTTTAGAATGAAAAGAAATGAGACAGTCACATAAAGGCCAGTTTTCAACAGGTTCATTCAAAATGACATCCTCTTCAAATATTACAACTGTGATATACTTAAACATGGAAAGCCGTTCAAGGATTTCATTCATTGGTTTTGATTTGGATTTCTTCGCCATAGAACATATTCCAACCACAATCTGTCTTTCTGGTGGCTAATAATAACAAGAACAGCAATAATTATAATAATAGCAACAATAAGCAGCAGTACTTAACAAGGGCCAATGATCATACAATATATGCCTGAGGATTTTCCTTTTCTCCTGCTTCCATGTTTTCACTGCATGTTAAGCAAACCATGCTCGTGCTCTAGGCAAATTTTATATAGCATGACCCTTTTACACCTTTTCCCAGTATTACAGGATAGAGAACAAAACCTAAAACAAAGGCTTAATTTCTATTCAACAAAGGAGTTAACAGATACAATATATAGAAAAATCAACAAGCTTTGATACCCAATGTGGAGTAAGAACTTAGGTACAAAACTGCAGGAAAAACACCAATACAGGAAACTGAAAGAGTAAAAAGGATAACTTAATTTTTTTAAATGAAAGTGTAGAAATCCTATGTTCTGTTCTGATCTTCTTACAAACATAGCCGTGTAAAATCAAATCCATCGCTTCTAAATTAAAATTATATATCGATATGGAATTATTTACAAAAATTAAATGTCAGGACCCACTAAGGACTGCTTTGCAGACTCCATTAATTTAAACAGCACTTGTAAAGAGTACTCATGGAAACAGGCAGCCAAAAGCTGCTGGACTGGGGGTCCTAAATAGTTAATGTCCATATAATAAAAATTAAACTATTAACTGATATGTAAACAGCTAGAGATTTAAACATTATGTATTTTTCTTTAGGGAGAAATGAGACTCTTTTCACTTTATATACCAAAAATGATTTGAGTCAACAACAATGAAATTATAATTTAAATTCTTCTAGTTTCATTTTCGTATGGTGTGAACTTTATCTGGATCTGTTTTGAAGGTTGCAATCTGCCTTGAATCCCAGAGATGTGGAAAAGACATATAAATAAATATATTTTTACTAATACTAATACAAATACTTCTTTTTTACAGCAATGTAAGTAGTTTCCATTATTATAAACTACTGGAGGTTTTTCAAAAAACCTACAGACTTTTATAAATAAAAAGTATCTTAAAACATATTTTTAACAGAGGTTCAAACTATGGTACTTAAAAAAATGAGAACAAAGTACGTACAGAATCATACTCCTCATCTTCATCTTCATGATCATAGAAGGCATTAAAGTCTGTTGTTCTTGCTCTGTCCAAAAGCTCATCGCCATCTTCACCACCCACAAAAAACCTTGGGAGTTCATTCTCCGTCGCATTAACAGACATGATTATAAATCCTAATGTGATCTATGTATTAACTGCAGTCACTCTGAGAAGTGAGACACTGTACATAATTCCCAGCGGCTAGAGTAATAAAAATCCTTGCAGCTTGGCACTGCTTACGCACTTGCTTGTTGCTCTGATAGTCAGCTGCCAAATGCAGTTTAATTGGTATCATCTGTCCATTGTTCTGTTGTTACATTTGTAAAAAGCAATCCTTCAGGTTACCGTTTCCCTGAGATTCCATGATGATTTTCTACACTAAAAAGGCAAGGGGAAAAGATTAAGACATCCAGCATATACTAATGTATTTGATAATTGAAATATACATTATTTGAATTAACCTGCATGAAAATGCTTTTCTTACTACAAAACTGAACTACTCCACAGAATATCATGATAATACATTAAAACAACTAATATTAAAAGATGAACATATATGCAAAATGAAGAATAATTAACAGGTGAATCTCAACCACATATGAATCCTGAGAAATATCAGACTGGTCATTTGGGAGCAGTAGGCAAAGGGGAAAAGAAATGCAACAAGTCAGAACCACTTTTAGCATGGCCATATGTGGTAATAACAGTTCATTAGTAGAAAAATGAATTTTAAACTTGATCCTTGGTACTGTAGATAGCTCACCCTCTTCCAAAAACTAGTAACAAAATTATCTAATTATGAAGATAAAGATAAAAGGTTGGCCAATAATGTCATGTGATATGTAGTGCTGTAGCCATACCTTCCAATGCAATTCCTTGGGCTGTCATGATGCAACTAGTGAACAAGTTGTACCTTCAAAGTTCTATTTAGGAAACACGATCTCAATAAATTATTACAATGGACAGCAAACAGAGAGCACATGCTACTGACCTACCAATGTGTAACAGGGCTATGAAAGCCAAGACAGTAAAAATAGATTTAAAGAACGTTAGAAAAGAACACGTGCTAAGTGTCTTGAAAGTAACAGTAAACACAATAAAGTGAACTTTTTACAAAAGAGCGTGAGAGAAAAGGAATTATCTGTCAAAGGTTCACACATGTCTGTCTACACAATGACTACATAAATTGAGAATGCAGAAAGTTCAGGGCATGAACACACTGAGCAGTACAGAACTGGCTGTGACAACACATTGGTTGGATTATTTATAGACAAATGAAAGTATAGTTGTTTCTAGGAGACATCATCAATGAATTACCTCATACTTATCTTCACTTTATGTTTTTAAAGATACAAGGGTGGCTTACAATTGTAAGTTTTCAAGCAGTCGTCTCTGGACACACATAATGAATGACTGCATCACCACAGTGCATTATTTGGAAACTTCTAGGGCTATGGCCCACTCCACAAGTGTCTATGCAGCACACTTCCTGCTAAACCCTCAGTTCTATGGATGCCAAAGCAGATGCATACAAAGAATTAAAGAAAGACAGGATATGAAGAGAGGAGGGTACGCAGAGCATTGTGAGATCATATATGCCTACTCAAAGTACTCCTTTTTCATGGTCTCTGTGTGATTCACATAAATGGAGAACTAGCACGCTACTAACTATAGGAGGAGTCTCATACTTATGAATGCTGGACAAACCTCTCAAAGGTGTCATGCAAGACAGAGATATAGCAGAACTCTCCTAAACACAGAATGCTGTGTACATATCTTGAAGTGGGAGATGACAGTCAGAGGCTGCGACCACCTAGTCACTCTGCCTTTAAAAATGCATGAGACATAGCTGTACATATTGCTGTTTTGTGGATTTTGAAGTTTGTTGTATTTTGATATGTGGCCAACATGGCTACACATGAAAGTTTATTAGAACTGTTGGGGGGGGGGGGGATGACGACTGGCACCAGGTGGAATGGCAATAGCAGTCTGTTATATCTGGAGAGCTACCTGCTTCTCACCCTGTCCTTCATGTCTGTTACTCTTAACAGGTTTGCTGTTAGATTTTCTCAAAGCTGCAATGAAGATATACACTGACATGGCTAACCTACCATCTTATCTAGGAAGAATCCTAAGACCTTTTTTTTCACTTGCTTTCTAAATTTTTTGCCCTTTAGGACTGTATTTTATTGACTCAATTCCACACTATTTTAAGAGAATGAAGTTGCTGATTCAGTAAGACCATCATGCCCTTCAAGACTTGCCTCCTTTCTAGAATGCAAGGGCTGTAGCACCAAATGCTGCTGATATCAGAAAAGAAGTTGTATACAACAGAATCAGACCACTGGTCAATAGTTGGAAATTTAAATCAGTTTAGCTGTTCAGTATTCTCAGATCTTTTACTCTGGAGCTAAACAAATGTTGAACTGAGATGAAACAGATGAAGATGATACACTGAAAACAGGCTTTCTTTTACTAAAGTTCAAATACAGTCCATTTCATGCTGATTGTCCGGGTGGCCCTGAATTTTCAGTATCAGAATGTTCTATATTGTTTATACCAACTAAATACTATGTGGCATGGAAAAGCACCTACTGCTCTGGTCAGCTAATTCAAAGTTCAACCACAACAGGTCAGGCAGAATTTTCATGACAAAGAAAATACAACATGTGGCTAGAGATGTTCTTTAACAATATCTAATGCTAGGTTCTTGTGGGTTTTTTCGGGCCATAGAGCCATGTTCTAGAGACATTTCTCCTGACGTTTCTCTAGAACATGGCTCTATAGCCCGAAAAAACCCACAAGAACCTAGTGATTCCAGTCATGAAAGTCTTCAACAATACAATATCTAATGCATTTTGATGTTTTAAATTCAACTATCCACACAATTAACAAGTAAATACATATGTACTTCTCTATAACTACTAAGCGCTTCATTGCTCAAGAGTATAATGCTTTTCCTACCACCTTTTAAGTCCAACTGTTGTCATGGAAATTTACACAATCACAGACACCCAATTTAGCAAAATAAAGGATGAGGTCAATATAGCTCCAAGGACAATATTTATTAGGTCACTGTTAGTGCCTAAAAAGCAAAGGGGAAGCATTAAAAATTGGGATGATTATTACAATTAATAAGAAAATATTTATTTAGCACTGACTTCTATAGCACAAAATTATTGATTATATTTGCATCTTGAAGATTACATATTTTCCCCACATATTCCATGTCAACAACAGACCTTCCTATTAATTTTGCCAATTTATGCCAATTATTTACATACAAATTTTAAAGTATATTTGGAAATGTGAAACCTCATTTACTGTATTGTATTTACACAGGGGTTAATTTACTATGAATTACCAAAATTAATCACCAATTATCCCATATATAAGTCTACAAATTTTAGCCAAAAACCAACTCAAAAAACCTGGGTCAATTTATCTATGAGTCAGTTTGAGCACTGCACTTTAACTTTTATTTTAAAAGGGAACCATCCACTTTTCAAAATAGAGTGGTGAAAGGCAAGAGCTTAGTCTGTCCCAAGAGCATGTAAAAGAAGCACAAAGCCTCTCAACTTTCTCCAGCATGGCAATGTTTCTGGCCTTTTTGAATGTCAGGGTAGGAAAATGGCCAAAACAGCTAGGGGTGATTGTCACCCTGAAGTGACAGGAGCTTTCCCCTCTTAGTGGAATGACTCTCTCAACTTATCTATGGGTCCTATCCAAATCCATCATTTTGACTCTCAAATCTGCTCTCAATTTATACATTTGTAGAGTGCATATGACAGTTGGAATGAGTCCTGGATTAGGAAGAAAGCTAGGGACTAAAAAAGCTAACAAGTTAACTATAACAAAATGAATATACTGTTACAATGTTTCGGTGAGTAATACTTTAAAAAATATCCTAATTAATAAACAGCGCTTTAAATCAGCAAACAATCAAAAAGGCCTTGAGACCAAAGTGCTGATGAAAATAACTTAAAATGCTTATGATCTCAAATTTCATTCTACTCACTAAATTAATGTATGAAAAGGCATGGGATGTTCAACAATAAGCTGTAGCACAACAAGAGTGATCAATACTACAGCCGCATATAATGAGAACGGCTTTTTGTTTCAGTAAGAAATTCTCAAGATGACCACTATACTTAAARCATTTATGCATCCATTTATTAAATCTATATGATAAAGGACCATCCCAAATTGGACATGCAGAAGAAAAAAAATCTCAAAACAGAAGAGCAGTCTTGTGTGTGTATGTGGGGGGGGGGGGGGACGGACGGACGACAACCCAATGGATAATTATGACAACACTAAGCCAAATTATAAGCATGTGGGAGCCCTGCACTGCTTTCATTTCTGTAGATCCAATGTTTCTCTCAGAAAAGCTCCATCTTTGCTCTGTAGCTAGTGGAATACTAGCTACAGCAGTACTTTAGACAATTCATTTTGGTTGAAAACTAATATAGTTATACTAAGATAAGTAAAATTACTAAAATTATTTATCAGTTTAGTACGAAATACTTTGCCCATTTGTAATAATCTGAACAGTGTATTTCTTTGTATCCTCCAAACAAAAAATGAATAATATTAAGAGAGTTTTCAGGAGGATGTGTGAGAGAGTGCACATACATTTACACTTATTTTCTTACCAAGAATGAAAGAGAAAAGATAAACTTCGTAGAAGCAAGATGTCACAATACAGCATATTTGCTAAATTCCTAATATTTTTTGCAAAATGATGTAGTTCCTTCAGTATTTCTAGTTCTGAGCAGTGCTCAACGTCAGTTCAACTCCTAAAGTAAAATAAAAAGTTAAATAAATGTCTTTGATTAGAAAAGTCAAAAAATTACAAAGAAATTATTTCAGAACGAACATATGAAATAAATCTGAAATGTAGATTAATATTTCAAAACTAGCTGAAGTATAATTGGCAACGTACAGTGGGCTCTCAATATGCATTGGGGGTTGATTCTAAGAACCTCCATGGATAGCAAAATCTATAGATGCTCAAACCATACTAAATACAATGCATAGCAAATTGGTATCCTTCATATTAAATGGAAATATTAAGGTTTGCTTTTTGGAAATTTGTGTCTCAATATTTTCAAGTCATGCACAATTGAATCAAGGATGTGGAATCCGTGGTAATGGAGGGCCAACTATGGGACCTCCTGCTCCCAACCCTTTAACTTGAGAATCTCAACAGTGATGCTTCTCTGGTTTGTTGCTGCTATATCTGTTGCTGCTTGGATCTGTATTGATTATACTCAAAGGATCTCATGTCGCTCAAACTGATCAAATGCGGGTTTTTTAATGTTTTTCTCATTTTTTAAAAAAGAATCTTACCAGCGGTACCTCAGAGGCCATTAAAAAAAAAGAAAGAAACCTTGGGAATTTTACCAGAAGTGGCTTAGGGCCCTTTCAGTCAAATAACCCAGAATATCAAGGCAGATAATCCACAATATCTGCTTTGAACTGGGTTATCTGAGTCCACACAGCCATATAATCCAGTTCAATGTGCATTTCCTACAGCTGTTTGGAAGGGGCCTCAGTTATCACCTATTTCCCTTTTTTCTTGCCTCAGAATCTGAGGAGCAGTGCCTCAGAGAGCTTCCTTCTGTTTTCTAGCCCTTTAAATGTATTTCCTGATGAGACAACTTCTTGGAAACTGCCCACTTGAAATTGACAACTGTAACCAGGTGATAACAAAAAATACTAACCAAATTTGGAGATGCATATCACATTTTCTATGAAACCTCTCAATTTGCAATCTGGACATTTTAATTTGACACTTGGCACTGAAGCTTGCATAACAACCAAAGGCAGTCTGTTACAACGTCCTGATCTGTTATGGGTACTATAGATAAACATATCAGTAGTCATTGCTTTTGGTTATTGTAGTTACAGAATGCAATCTGCAAAAAGTCCTGTTGCTTGATTTTTGCTCCTACCTTCTCTTTATTGGATGGAAGCCAAAAGTTAAATTCTCTATGCTCCACAGGAAGGAAAGATCAGTGTGTATATGAGAATGTAAGAGGTTTGGGAAGAATGGAACTGGGTAGAGAGGAAATCAGGTAGGGTAAAAGTCTCCTTTCAGAATCACCTGGCTCTTCAGGAAACAATCCAGACAACAGACTGATAATTCAGGAACAGATACCATTTATTACAACAGTAGCTATCAAGTAAGGCCCATCTGGAGTTGGAAAATATATACTATGTAGTGATATGGCAATAGGGGGCCATTCTGTCCCTCTTTCAACCACTTAGACTTGGAGGGTAGTTACTTGACTTACTTCAGATACAAAGGTAGCTATTGCCACCACTGCTGTTACTTAGATATAGTGAAAGTGGACTCTTCTTTAAGAATTATAGTACAGGTTTTGCAGATTTTTTTTATTTTTTTTACTAAATATTAATGTGAATTATAAATGGGTTTATTTGAAATTCTAGTGTATGTTTATTAGTGTGAGATTATGATTACTTCAACCGTGAATTATAATTGTTGCATTAATAAGAAATATTGTTTTGTATTATGTAACTTGTTCTGACGTTACTGTAATAATGATAATAATAATTTTATTTCTTACCCACCTCTCCTCATGGCTCGAGGCGGGTTACAACATAGTTAAAACGCGCAATCATTGTGAACATTCTATAAAATATACCTATGAATAAATATTTCTAAAAAATACATACTAAAACATATTTCTATAAGAAAGTATTAAAATACAGAGAACAAAGATTAAAACATATGACATTAGTTTAAAATTCACGATTACAACTGGCTGAGTAGTTTTCCTTTGGCAATGGAAAATTGACATATTGTATTTATTTATTTACGACATTTATATGCCGCCTTTCTCACCCTGAAGGGGACTCAGAGCGGCTTACAAGTAAAAAGTAAATACAATATGTTGTATTATTACCATAGCACAATATTAATATTACATTGTACTATAACACTATACTGTAATATTATTAGTAATATTACATTTAATAAAAATATATAATATCATATTAGTAGTAGTATTATATTGTGTTACATTATAATATTATCAATATTATGTGTATATACAATATATATTATATTATATTATATTATATTATATTATATTATATTATATTATATTATATTATATTATAAGCACAGTAATGGAGCCCCCGGTGGCGCAGTGGGTTAAATTCCTGTGCCAGCAGGACTGAAGACCGACAGGTCGCAGGTTCGAATCCGGGGAGAGGCGGATGAGCTCCCTCTATCAGCTCCAGCTCCTCATGCGGGGACATGAGAGAAGCCTCCCACAAGGATGATAAAACATCAAAATCATCCGGGCGTCCTTACAGACGGCCAATTCTCTCACAACAGAAGCGACGCTCCTGACACGAAAAAAAAAAAAAACACAGTGCAGGAGACAAGATGGAACTGCCTTCCTGGTCCTCTCTTGACTGATCTCAGAGCAGTGGTTTGTGCTGGAGGGGGGAGGGGGCTCCCAACTGATGATACTGGAGGCAAGATGGAACCGAATACTAATCTTGTGACACTGCTAGTTCTGAGGATTTGCACAGCTGGCTAAATTGTAGATGTCTCAGACAGGATCTGTTAAATCCCCATTTCACAAAAGCTATACCAAATATCTACATATACTGCAGCAGCACGTAAGGGCGGTAAAGAAAATAGTTCAGGAAGTGAAATGTATTGAGCTGTAGGGTTTACACTCTAATACTAAAACTAAATTTCTAGTAATTTAGGGTGCACCTACACTGTAGAAATAATGCAGTTTGACACCACTTTAAATGCCTTGGAATCCTGGGATGTGTAATTTGAGGGGACTCTTGACTAAAGTTCTCCCAGGTTTTCATTGCACTGAATCATGGCAATTAAAGTGGCGTTAAGCTGCATTAATTCTACAGTATAGATGTACCCAAGATAACTTTGAAATGAAATAGGAAACCAAAAATACCAATCTATACTTTCATAAATCACCATATGATTTACAAAATGAAATTGTGCAATGTTGAATTCTGGTTGCCTGGATGTACTATTTCGCTAAACAAAGAGAGAAATGGTATGAGAGATTACTGGTGCCTGATAATGCTTGATGGGGAGAGTTGGGTGATAGAAATGCTGAATGACTAGAGGAAAAGGCAACTTGAGAGGGCTCTTTTGTGTTTCAAGAGCGACCTGAGAAACTGCAAGAGAGTAAAAGAACAGCATAGAAACAATGAGGATCAATGGAGGACAGGACACAAAAGGACATGCAATCCAAAACAGCTTTTTTTTCCTTTTTTTGTCGTGTCAGGAGCAACCGCTCCTGTTGTGAGAGAATTGGCCGTCTGCAAGGACGTTGCCCAGGGGACGCCTGGATGATATTTGATGTTTTATCATCCTTGTGGGAGGCTTCTCTCATGTCCCTGCATGAGGAGCTGGAGCTAAAAGAGGGAGCTCATCCACCTCTCCCCAGATTCGAACCTGTGACCTGTCGGTCTTCAGTCCTGCCGGCACAGTGCTTTATTTAACCCACTGCGCCACCGGGGGCTCCTCCAAAACAGCTGGTACAGGCTGAATGAGAAGTGGGCAGGTGGAAAGAACTTAAGACTGAATGGAAAATATGGGTGGGGAAGATGAGAGGACTGGGCTGAAAGTGGGACTACAATTTTGGGGGTTTTCATCCAAGTGAAGCTGGGTACTTTCACTGGTTAATCATAATGAGCCCACTCCACAATTGGTTGGCACTTAGTGCGGAGGCACCCACTATCTGAAAAACTCTTCCCTCAGCTGTTAATTTTGGGGGGGGGGGGATTTATGGGAACTCTCACCTAAGTTTACAAGACGTTGGGTGCTGTATTCCATGTGCTTTATAGACAATGTAATTTTCTCTTGGTTTTAAGTATTTTATACGGAATGTTTTCTTGCTATGTACCATTTCAAAATGTTCAGATGCAAGCAGATTATAAGTATTTGTAAATAATTGTAACAGCACTGTACTTGCATAGGACTGAAAAGCATAATTTTCCAAAGCATTCTATTCCTTGTTGCTTTCCAAATGAATCAACCTTAATTTAAGGATAGAAGAATTAAGAAGAAATATTGTGCCTGATATAGAGTTGTCCCTCTGCAGATAAATGGTAATTTTCTGAGATTCGACCTTCTCCCTTAAACCTGAGCATCACCTTCTATGCTGTTTTTCTGGAGGAACACAGAATGAGTCAGTGTGAATTACAGGAAGAAAGCAAAATTGGATACTACTTCAGTGTCTTCTTCCAGGAGAAGTAGAACTCAGAGTGTAAAATCTGGATGCAACTCTTTAAATGTTAACGAAAAATGATCACCACAATTAATTTACACTCCAGTGTAAGCTTGGTTATTAAAATTGAGTCACAACTAATAGGGATTCATTCTCAAGTGCAAATGATTTAGTTGCTCATATATCTAACAACGGATCATTATGCAAATTAGCTGCTTCTCCACTCTCCAATCATGTCAAAATGCCAGAAGGAAGAAAGTCTATGAAAGTACATCAATTTGTAAGACCAACTATAAATCACAAAGTACGTGTGGATGAATAATCTTTCAAATGAATGTAGATATCGAGTCTACCATGCACACAAAATTAAATCCTTCTAAATATGTGACATGCTGTCAGTTGTCCAACCAGTTTTTTATCTGCATGTCTTTCATGAATACTGTACCATTCCATCTGTCCTTTCCTTGCCATCATAGTAAAATGTACTTTTCTTTAAAAAATACATTTTAAAAACATTCTCCTTTCCTATTATTTTCTCTATTTGTTTTGAGGAAAACCTGAACATGTTTTGTACTACACAAATGTAGTCCAATTCTTATGATTTGTTTATCCTGCTCTGGCATTAACCTAATATATCTCTTTAATTAGCACTGATAAAGAATATATGTGTTATTTCTCATAGCTGTGTCTGAAAAACAAATTATTTGCAGTAACAAATTCCACTAGAGAATACTCTAACAAACATGTCAGTATAGAAAGCATTTTTGTTCATAAATAAGATTTGAAAATGCATATTTACCTCAAAAGGTAATTTGGGAACTGATTAAATTCCTGTTTGAGATTCAGGCTGCTGCAGTGTTGTACTTGTGACTGCTTTTACAAATGGTCCAGAAACTCCAGTTGGTTCAAACCATAGCAACAGGATTGGTTAAAGCACCGTAATGTGCCAGTACTTTTCCAGATACAATGTCTTCTAGTTTTTTTCCACACCTGATTTAAAATGTTCGTATTAATACTTGGAAGTCCCAGGGCTTGGAATCATGTTATCTAAGAACCATCTCTTTAAAAACATAACTAGCCAGACCCTAAAGTCACACTCAGAAGTCTTTCATTGGTGCACCGGCCAAATGAGTTGTGATGAACAGCCAAGAGTTTGAGGCCCTTTCTGATTATGACACACTGGATGTGGAATGCTCTTCCCAAGATGCTTGCACATTAGCACCCATACTGTAGACTTTTCAGTGGCAGGTTAAAGACCTGTTTATTTTCCCAGATGCTCTGGCAATGCTACACTTAAATGTTCAATGTCAGTAGTCCTGGAACTTTTTTTTCTTCCCTGCTTCAACCGCAGCACTAAAAAAAACGGTCCAGATGGACTCCTTGCTCTCTAGAGCAGGTTTTCAGGGTACATGATGGACAGCAGGAGGGAGAAAGTGACTTGTAATTTTGGGGAAAAAAAGAAGGCACCTAGCAGATACACCACTGACATCATGGCCATAAAACCTTTTGCACTTTCTACAACACACTTTTTGTTCTAAGAATAATTTATTGATTTTGCTTTGATTTTATTCATTCTATTTTTTTTTACTTTTTATATTTGTCCAAACTCTAAAAGTTTCTTGTTAACTCACCAGACAATGTTGACCCTTGGGTGGTATATAAATATTAATAAAAGAACAAAAATGTTAATAGCTTAAGAGTCAATGCTAATAATAGAGATGAAATATCTAAAACATTTGCATGGCTTGCAGTCTCTACAAAAGGCTAATGGAAAGTCTGCTCAGTCAAGGTCATTTGGTTTTGTTTATCATAGTAGAAAACATCTAGAGAACAAACTGACAGGAGAATGCAACAGCAATTCTGTGCTCCAAATATTCCAAGCAGGTTGCCAATACCTATCAAGTCACAATTCCTCATTATTCATTTAATCAGGTGTTAAAATTAAATGATTCCACAAAAATATTGTAAAAGCAAACCACAACTGGGTCATATAAAAATAAAAATTATTGCATAATAACTGTTTTGTTGTTGCTAAGCTAGCTGCCAAACACAGAAAAATAATGTGTTACGCCCTTTTTTACATTGATTATTGGAAAAAAGAGACACTATATGGCCACTATATATTGATGTAATTTTTCCCTTTCATATTAAAAACTTCTACTCAGAAGATTGATATAGATGGACAAAACCATCACAAATGTATAATTGATTCTTTAATACACCAGCACATGAAGATGTTTAAAAATACAGCTAATCTTTAATGATGTTAATTACTCATCATATCTAATGTTTAGGGTTTGTTCTCATGTTAGTAATGATAACAATTGCATAGGAACTTTGCTCCAGAATGATATTCAGTCACTGAAAAGTACATAATTATTCTTCATTATGTTGCCAGAAAATGAAGTTAGGCATCCAGGTTTAATGGAGAAATTGACATCAGAAATTAGATTTTGTATCGGTAGACAGCCATATGACATTTTTATAAACATTTGCTCTTCCTTTATTCAGGACATGAATGACCACACTGTCAGAGTAAACATTCCAGGAAATCGAGCTGCTTTATGCAATACTGTACTACAGCCAGTAGTTCTCAACTTATGAGTCCCCAGATGTTTTGGCCTTCAACTCCCAGAAATCCTAACAACTGGTAAACTGGCTGGGATTTCTGGGAGTTGTGGGCCAAAACATCTGGGAACCCACAGGTTAAGAACTACTGTAAACTGATTGTTTCTATCCTGCTGCCTTAATCAATTCTTTTTATTTGCTGTAATCTTGTAATCTCATTTTAACATGTAAACAGATGAGAAACTAAATAACAGTGGAACAAATTGCTAACTTTCTTCCTAGCACGAGTCAGCTGGTAACATGTTCCATTTGTCACAGAACCAAAGAAACACATCAGAAACAGAAAAGCTAAAGCAAGCAAAAGCGTTCAGGCTCTCAACAAAACAATCCAACAGAATTTTGAGTTATATATGCTGTGGAGCACACAAAAATATCAGGAGTTCCTCTCCATCAAAGATCAGCTCTAATATTTTTAAGTCTATGTTTCATAAATTACTAATCTGATAATGTATGTTTCCTTTAACACATATGACTAGAATCCTAGCACAAGTACCTACGTATGTCCTCCTCTAAAAGAGAATAGTAAAACAGATTGTATTGCATGCCCTCTCACACACCTCTTAGCCCATGCAGTTAGGTACACCTAAATCTCCATCTATTTGTATTGATTTAAACACGCCTCATACGGTGTTGGTCTAGAATGTTAATGTGACCCTTGCTTAATGAACAGCAACAGTACTGAGTATTGCCTGTGTATTCCTGCATGCCAATGGGTTGGACTAGACGGTCCTCACAGCCTTAACAATTCTAAGATTAGATGATTATGTCTCTATTTCTAAAACAACAACAAAAGTAGGCAGACAGGGCACACTGGCACTATGTCTACACAAAACTGAATATTTTCTGTACCGCACTGCATCATGATCACACATCAATCAACTGAATGATCACTTCACGAAAGTATCTTCCCCTGTGAACACTTCTGGAGTACTGTATTCTGAATTCAGAATTCTCTCTAAGAGATGCTCAACCTCTTTTATGACATTTATTCCTAGAAAAATACAGAGTGTTCTTCCAAATATTTGCACCTTTACAGACTTCCAAGACTACAATAGTAGAGAAGTGTTGTGAAAGTACAAAATAAACTTTAAGTGAGGTGTGAAACAAAGCAAACAGCAAGTTTTTGACAAAGCAAACAGCGAGTTGCTGCACAGGGATGAAAATCTGAGCACCTTACATATAACTGTATTCGAAGGTGGAATTTGCAACTCAGATTACAACATTTATTCTTGAATAAATTTCATTCCACGTTGCCCTTTAAAGGTTCTTTTTTTGCTCCCTTCCTTTAGTACTCAACTCCTATAAACTGATGGCACCTTTATATTGTAGAATTAATGCAGGTTGAGATGACATTAACTGCTATGGAATCCTGGGAGATGTAGATTTATATGGGGCCCTTCCACACAACCATAAGATGCAGAATATCAAGGTAGAAAATCCCATATTATCTGCTTTGAACTGTGTTGTCTGAGTCCACACTGCCATAAATTCCAATTCAAAGCAGATAATGTGGGATTTTATTCTGCTGTGTGGAAGGGCCTATGTCCTTTTAGCCTTCTCTGCCGAAGACAGCTGGTGCCTCACCAAACTCTCAGTTTGATAGCATAAAGTTGATTTGACAGAGTGAAGATGCACCCTTAGATGAAACTCCCCCTATACACATACCTTATATTCTAACAGGGAGAAAAAACATGACTACAGGATCCATACATACCTTGGAAAATCTTACAAAACAGTACTGGCTGACAAAAGGAGGAAGGAGAGAAGGGAAGGGGATCACTTTTCCCCTTCCCTTTTCTGGAGGTTCTGCTCCAACTTGTCCTGCATGTAGCGGGAAGAAAGGTCAAAAGCTGGGCTTTCACACATGCTGCAGCTGCCACTGCAGAAGGGAAAGGCAAAGGCGCCAAACATGGAGAGAGAGATTAATGGATGGAAGGTGGGGATAGAAGACAAGAAACTACCCTGAACCCAACCTACGGGATGCTGACCATGGCTGGATAAAAGGCTCAGTACCAGGAGGCAATTTCACCCCTTTCAAAGCATAAGTTATGAAAAATGTGTGGCCTGCTCCTCTCCCAGCAGTAACTAAATAGTTGATTAGTCCCAAGCCCCTTCCACACAGCCCTATATCCCAGAATGTCAAGGCAGAAAATCCCACATTATCTGAGTGTGGACTCTGATAACCCATCTTAAAGCAGATATTGTGGAAATTTCTGCCTTGATATTCTGGGATATAGGGCTGTGTGGAAGGGCCCTGAGATAACCTAGAATATCAAAGTAGAAAATCTCACAATATCTGTTTTGAATTGGGTTATCTGAGTCCACACTGCCATATACTCCAGTTCAAAACCTTATATGGAATTTTACTCAGCTAGGTGGAAGGGGCCCCAGTTTAAAACAGATATTGTGGGATTTTCTGCCTTGACCAGCAGCTTCGGTTCCTCACTCACTGCTGGCTGCTTTTGGGCCCTTCCACACAGCCCTATATCCCAGAATATAAATCCCACATTATCTGCTTTGAACTGGAATATACGGCAGTGTGGACTCAGATAACCCAGTTCAAAGCTAATATTGTGGAATATTCTGCCTTGATATGCTGGGTTATAGGGCTGTGTGGAAAAGTCTTTACTTGACTTTTAAGTCCAGCAGCTTGGGTTCCTCACTCGCTGCTGGCTGCTTTTGAGCCCTTCCACACAGCCCTATATCCCAGAATATCAAGGCAGAAAATCCCACTTTATCTGCTTTGAACTGGAATGTACAGCAGTGTGGACTCAGATAACCCAGTTCAAAGCTAATATTGTGGAATATTCTGCCTCAATATTCTGGGATATAGGGCTGTGTGGAAAGGCCCTCATTCATCTCATCCCACCTTCATTGCCACATTGTGCAGAGTATGTGACCAAGAGGGAAGCTCTTTGACCAGGACAAACCTTTCTCAAGAGAATATGGCATAAGTTACGGCTTACTCTAGAAATTTTTCACAATACAGCAATCTCCTTAGATGTGTTCAGCTTGAAAAACCACCGAGTCCACTGGAAGGGCCCTCTGACTTGGTTCCAACCTAAGGTGAACTGATTCTAGTTCTTGTGGGTTTTTTCAGGCTATAGGGCCATGTTCTAGAGGCATTTCTCCTGACGTTTCGCCTGCATCTATGGCAAGCATCCTCAGAGGTAGTGAGGTCTGTTGGAACTAGGAAATGGGTTTATATATCTGTGGAATGGCTGTGGTGGGGCAAAGAGCTCTTCTCTGCTGGAGCTAGGTGTGAATGTTTCAACTGACCACCTTCATTAGCATTTGAAGGCCTGGCTGAGCCTGGGAAAATCTTTTGTTGAGAGGTGTTAAGATGTGCCTGGTTGTTTCCTCTCTGCTGTTTTGCTGTTGTAATTTTAGAGTTTTTTAATACTGGTAGCCAGATTTTGTTCATTTTCATGGTCTCTTCCTTTCTGTTGAAATTGTCCACATGCTTAGAGAGGAAACAACCAGGCACATCTTAACACCTCTCAACAGAACATTTTCCCAGGCTCAGCGAGGCCTTCAAATGCTAATGAAGGTGGTCAGCTGAAACATTCACACCTAGCTTCAGCAGAGAGCTCTTTGCCCCACCCCAGTCATTCCACAGATATATAAACCCATTTTCCTACTTCCAACAGACCTCACTACCTCTGAGGATGCTTGCCATAGATGCAGGCGAAACGTCAGGAGAATGCCTCTAGAACATGGCCATATAGCCCGAAAAAACCTACAACAACCCAGTGATTCCAGCCATGAAAGCCTTCGACAATACATTGAACTGATTCTCTTGGCAAGAGGCTGGCATCTACGCTGTACAAGGAGTGCAGCATGATACCACTTTGGATTGCCCTAGCTCAATGCTGAGGAATCCCTGGGATTTGCAGTTTGGTGAATAGCGCCACTTCTTTCACAAAACTTGATTATAACGAGAGGCGTGTGTGTATGGGAGCGAGGCAGAGGAAAAAAGGCGAGAGGACTGGCCTGCGCGTGCGACTGCAGGTGCGCATGCGCTCTCTCTCCACCTCGCGCACGCTACCTGCCTCGAACCGAAGCTTCTCTTCTTTCTGCCGCAGCTTTACTACCACGCGCGCGCTCCTTCTCTCCCTCCTCCTGGGCCCGCCCCTTCTTCCCATTGGTGCCCTTCGAGAGGTGGCCGTTGGGCCGCTCGCGACGGAAGGGTCGCCTGCAGTCATCCCACGCGTCGCCCTCCTCCTCCTCTTCCTCCTCACCTGTGCCTTTCGCTCCCGCCGCTGCCGCTTGACTTCCTTCCCATTGAGAAAGAAGGGCTGCTGAGGGACTGCCACGCCCCCTCCTGGCTTTTGACCCGCGCTTGAGTCCCCGCCCACTCCAACAGTCCTTTCATTACATAGACCCCCAGAAGGAAAAGTAAAGAGTGACAAGGCCCTTCACTTCGAGCGGTACTTCTGGGTTATTTCATAGAATCAAAGAGTTGGAAGAGACCTCATGGGCCATCCAGTCCAACCCCCTGCCAAAAGCAGGAATATTGCATTCAAATCACCCCTGACAGATGGCCATCCAGCCTCTGTTTAAAAGCTTCCAAAGAAGGAGCCTCCACCACACTCCGGGGCAGAGAGTTCCACTGCTGAACAGCTCTCACAGTCAGGAAGTTCTTCCTCATGTTCAGATGGAATCTCCTCTCTTGTAGTTTGAAGCCATTGTTCCACGTCCTAGTCTCCAGGGAAGCAGAAAACAAGCTTGCTCCCTCCTCCCTGTGGCTTCCTCTTACATATTTATACATGGCTATCATATCCCCTCTCAGCCTTCTCTTCTTCAGGCTAAACATGCCCAGCTCCTTTAGCCGCTCCTCATAGGGCTTTATTTATATCCCGCTTTATCTCTCCATACGGAGACTCAAAGCGGCTCACAATCAAAAACATTACAACTTCAAATATACAAATATACAATAGTAATACAGTATGTCATTATATATTATTATATTTTATCAGTAGTGGTTATATTTAATGGATTAGCATTACTATATTACTGGGTTGTTGGAGGTTTTTCGGGCTGTATGACCATGTTCAAGAAGCATTCTCTCCTGACATTTCGCCTGCATCTATGGCAGGCATTCTCAGAGGTTGTGAGGTCAGACCTCACAACCTCTGAGGATGCCTGCCATAGATGCAGGCGAAACGTCAGGAGAGATTGCTTCTTGAACATGGCCATACAGCCCAAAAACCTCCAACAACCCAGTGATTCCAGCCAGGAAAGCCTTCAAGAATACATTACTATATTACAATATTATTCGTATTATATTTTATTATATTATAATATTGTCAATATTATATGTCTTTACAATATATTATATGTATTACTATATAGTACTATACCACTTTACTGCATTTTTTTATTAAGATTACATGTAATATATATATCATACACGTAATACGTAATATACATAATACACATAATATACTCCCTGGTGGCACAGTGGGTTAAACCGCTGAGCTCCTGAACTTGCTGATGGAAAGGTCGGAGGTTCGACTCCAGGGAGTGGGGGTAAGCTCCTGCTGTTAGCCCCAGCTTCTGCCAACCTAGCAGTTCGAAAACATGCACACATTAGTAGATCAATAGGTACCACTTTGGCAGGAAGGAAAGGTGCTCCATGCAGTCATGCCAGCCACATAACCTTGGAGCCATTTACAGACCACGCTGGCTCTTTGGCTTAGAAATGGAGATGAGCACCAACCCCCAGAGTCGGACACAATTGGACTTAATGTCAGGGGAATTGTCATTTCATTTCATTATATTATATTATAATACCACAATATATATATATAATACACTGGACCATAGAGAAGGCTGAGCGAAGGAAGATAGATGCTTTTGAACTGTGGTGTTGGAGGAAAGTTCTGAGAGCGCCTTGGACTGAGAGAAGATCCAACCAGTCCATACTTCAGGAAATAAAGCCCGACTGCTCATTGGAGGGAAAGATATTAGAGGTCAAGATGAAGCATTTTGGCCACATAATGAGAAGACAGGAATGCTTAGAGAAGATAACGATGCTGGGGGAAAGAGAAGTAAAAAGGAAGAGGGGCTGACCAAGGGCAAGATGGATGGATGGTATCCTTGAAGTGACTGGCTTGACCTTGAAGGAGCTGGGGGTGGAGATGGCCAACAGAGAGCTTTGGCGTGGGCTGGTCCATGAGGTCACGAAGAGTCGGAAGCGACTGAACGAATGAACAACAAAATATATTATACTATTAGTATAATATATTATATATTTTGCTGAATTCAAACTAAATTAATGCACTTTGACACCACTTTAACTGCCACACTTTTAATTCTACAGTTTGTAGTTTGGTGGGACACCAGCACTTTTAGGCAGAGAAGGCCTAAAACTACAACTACCAGGATTCCATAGCATGGAGCTATATGATGTTCAGTTGCATTCATTATACGGTGTAGTATGTAGATGCATCATCATAATTATTACCTATGTTGGCTCTCCAGGGTTTCAGCCTAGCTTTAACATAGAGTTAGGTGGTGGTATTTTTTTTTTTGAAGCAACCAATATTGAAAAGGGAAAAAGATATTTTCCAAATATAAACCTACATAAATGGATTGTACAAATGAGCCTTCAAACGACCCATACACATCGTAACCAGTTCTTCTCCTGCTTAGCTTCCAAACTCCTGCTTAGTTCTCCAAAGAAAGCCAGAACTACATAATGTGCCAGTTGTTTCTTGTTCCCAGAACACAATGGGGACTGGCTTCAAGAAGTGACAAAAAGAGATATACCACTCTATTGATTTTTTATCTCTATAGTACTTACAGGCGTTTTTTTAAATTATTTCCCACAGTCTGTGTCGTCACTTCCGCTGGCGCCAGAAATGTCTCGAGCCCTTCTGGTGCCTTTCTTCCTCGGGAAGTGGGAGAAGCAGTAGGAGCCTGATTCCCTCCTGTCGCTTGGGACAGAACACTCCCGCAGAGGCAAAGGGGGCGCCAGCGGCGAGACAGAGCTCCTGTTCTCCCCGACGCCGCATTGGTACAGTCCAGGTGAGGGGGAGTTGTGCGCATGCGTGGGGAGGAGCGGGCGTTAAAGCGAAAGGGCTCGTTGCGGAAGGAAGCTTTCCGGGTTATTTCGGACACCAGAAGTAGGCAGCTGCCAAAGCGCACAATAAGAAGCGACGGGAACCACAGTTACAGCTAGCTAGAATTAATGCTGTCAGACACCACTTTAGGTGCCAGCCAGGGCTCCATGCTATGGTGTCAAAGGAGTTGTGGTTTTACAAGGTCTTTATCCTTCTCTGGCCAAAGAGTGCTGGACCCTCATGAAACTACAGCTCCCATGATTCCATGGTAATTTTACAGTATAGAATATGCATTCTATACTGTCCCACAAAGAGAGTACAATATTTCATATAGCAAGAGAAATGGCAGCATGGCGTTGTAGGAAATGAGGGTTTCTCTATCCTCACAACCATGTTTTCTGTTAATTTTTGGCTGCTGTAGTTTCCTCCTTTGTATCAGTGCTTAAAACCATAACACCTTGTATATTTTCCTTTCTGTATCTTTTTGCTCTCTAGGGCCCTTTCTACATTTCCAAATAATCCAGATTATTTATTCATTTATTTACAGTATTTGTATTCTGCCCTTCTCACGCCGAAGGTGACTCAGGTCGGACCACAATGCACACTTTTACACCGCAAACATTCAATGCCATTTGTAGACAATCAGACAGACAGATAGAGGTATTCTCCTACTTTGGCGCCTGGAGGTGATGCTCAATTCCAGCCACAGGGGGTGTTGTTGCTTCATCCACTATGACGCTTTTGGATCGTAGTATTTCCTCCTTGTTCTTTGATCCCCGACATTTTTATGGTGTCATGAAATTGCCTAAATTGTCTACTTACAGCTTAGCTGTTTTCCAACTGCTAGGTGGACAGTAAGCTAGGCTTAACAGTCAGGTGCTCAATCTGACTTGGGCTTTGAAGTTGCCATCTTCCAGTCAGCAGTGATGTGTTGCTGCTGGCAATTAACCAGTTGTGGTACAGCCTGGCTCAAAGCAGATAGTTCACATTATCAAAGCAGATATTTCACATTATCTGCTTTGAACTGGATTATATACATCTGTACTGCCATATAGTCCTGTTCAAAGCAGATAACCTGGATTTTATATGGCAGTGTAGAAGGGGCCTAGGTCTTTTCGGGCTTTGACTTCTGGTCTTCCTCTCTTGGAGACAGACCAGGATTGTGTCCGGAGGAGGAATATGTCCAGAGGAGGGTGACTAAAATGATCAAGGGTCTGGAGAGCAAGCCCTGTGAGGAGCGGCTTAAAGAGCTAGGCATGTTTAGCCTGAAGAAGAGAATGCAAGCTGTTTATGGTGATTGTGTTGATGTGAGTACTGTGTGCCATTGGACGAGTAAGTTTAAAGATGTTGAGGTGGGAATATCTGACTTGCGTGACAAACAAAGAGTTGGATGTTCTGTGACAGCAACCACCGAGTTTCACAAGCAAAAGGTTGACAGATTGATTCAGGACGATCGTATAATTCAGAGAGAATTTCAAGCATAATCGGCATTTCGCAAGAACGTGTGGGTCACATTATTGCTTTGCTTGGCTATCGGAAGATCTGTGCACGATGGGTACCCAGGATGCTGACGCCTGAAATGAAAGTGCACAGACTTGAAATTTCAGAGACAGGATCTCACCACTGTACAACATCCTCCATACAGTCCAGATTTAGCACCTTCTGACTTACATCTGTTCCTGATAATGAAAGAAGATATGCGGGGACAACATTATGCTTCTGATAGAAAGGAGAATCCATCTGAACATGAGGAAGAACTTCCTGACTGTGAGAGCCGTTCAGCAGTGGAACTCTCTGCCCCGGAGTGTGGTGGAGGCTCCTTCTTTGGAAGCTTTTAAACAGAGGCTGGATGGCCATCTGTCAGGGGTGATTTGAACGCAATATTCCTGCTTCTTGGCAGGGGGTTGGACTGGATGGCCCATGAGGTCTCTTCCAACTCTTTGATTCTATGATTCTATGAAGAGAAGGCTGAGAGGAGACACGATGGCCATGTATAAATATGTGAGGAGAAGTCAGGGAAGAGGGAGCAAGCTTGTTTTCTGCTGCCCTGGAGACTAGGATGTAGAACAATGGCTTCAAACTACAGGAAAGGAGATTCCACCTGAACATTAGGAAGAACTTCCTAACAGTGAGATATGCTCATCAGTGGAGCTCTTTGTGGTGGAGGCTCCTTCTTTGTATGCTTTTAAGCAGAAGTTGGATGGCCATCTGTCAGGGGTGCTTTGAATGCAATTTTCCTGCTTCTTGGCAGGGGGTTGGACTGGATGGCCCATGAGGTCTTTTCCAACTCTATGATTCTATGAGACACACACCCATTCTCCACCTTCCTTTGGCAGTTTATATTTTTTTCCAAAATTTGCCTGTTTAATTCTATTGTTGCTATTTATATGCTTATATATTTGTGTTATTTGTAGTAGTTCTGTTACTGTGTGCTGTCAGCTTGTTTCTGATGGATGGTGGCCTTAAGGCAAACCTGTCACTAGGATTTTCATAGCAAGATTAGTTCAAAGGAAGTTTGCCTTTGCCCTCTCTGAGGCTAAGCAAATATGACTTGTTTGAGACACGCTCTCCCCAAAAGTGGATTTCCAAGTAGTACCTATTTGTCTTTTTAACAAAAATAAGTCCCGTTTATTTGGCTCATAGAGTCATTTGTAGAAAGAGTTTTGAAATATGGGCTTCGATTTCCACTCTTTCAATTTCCAATAAAAGCAGCTGCAGAGTTTTGACAGAAGCTTTTCTTTTCTAAGGGGCCAGCTAGATGAATATTTAATATTTGAGAGAAACAGTAGCTTTTCTTTCAAGAAGGCACTGACTTGCTCCCATCTTGTCCTCAATCCTTGGATTAATGTCTACATTGTCCCTTGTTAACTAAAGAAAACTGACAAGCCAGATCAGAAGGCGTTTGCAGGACCAATTATCACCCTCTGATAATGTGGTCATGATCATATCCTGCCCTATGTCTTAAGATGCAAGTTGTAGCCTCCAAATTAATCTGTACTCAAGCCAATGCCTATCTACTGGTCAGTTTTCTGTTACGATCCCAGACGGCTTGCGTAAGTTACCAGCTAGCACTCAACTCACCTACTTAAGAGTTCAAGTATATTTATCCTCTTATTTATATCTTGAATTTCCATGGGTTAAAACTGTTAAAAGTGGCTTACATCAGAACAAAGCATACTTTCAAAGAGCAGAAACATTTCAAGTTTTCACTGCTTCATCTGCCCTGTCTCTGCCTCTTTTTCCTTCCTATGTGAAGCTTTCAGCAATTTTCATTCACTTTGCTACTTCATTTACATTTTCACTTAAGTATCCTATTTTTGGAACAGCTGCAGTGTCATCAGTAGCACTTACTTTTCCACCACCCTCTGGATCCCTGTGGATTGCATCCATCAATTCTGATGAAACTGTAGGACCAAAACAAAGTATTCCAACCCCCCCCCCCCCCCTAAAAAGATTATCTAACAGAAGAATTGTGCCCATTGTAGGTAGTGGAACAGCACTTTATGTTGTGACTGATAGATGAAACCAGAGTGTGCTATCATCCAGTTTTCTGGATGCAAGCCAAATCTTCTAGCAGGGAAATCAAAAATAGATTTTGGTTGTTTCTAGGGGTGTGTGTCCCACACAAATATGGCAGCAGCTCCCTTCCCCAGTGTTGTGTTGTCAAGCAACTTCATTTCCTACTGCTGTGGCTATTTTACAAACGATTTAAGAATAAAAACGGAGGACACATATATACACACACATTGAGCTTCTTGTTGGGTTTGTACACCAGCTCTAATTACTGTACTTGTATATTCATTTGTAGTCTGAGAATTCAGCTGAAAATGCACTTACGCAAAGTTCCATCATTTCATTGTATTTCCATTATATTTGTAAAGTAGCTATTACTTAAACTTTATGGACACACTTTATGCTCAATTTGAGTAGGTTTGTGTTGATTCCTTCTTATATTACTTGTATTTTGGTTAAATAATGTTGCAGTTGTTCCCTTGGGGTTTTAAAATTGAAGGGGATTTTTAAAAAGGCTTATGAGCAGATTCCGAAAGTAGTCTGAACTCAGCAATTTATTTAAAGGCAGTTCATGATGATCTCTGGCTTGGCAACCACAAAGAAACAATGAAACCAATTTCATATAAAATGTTTATAAAAGCAAGCAGTGACAAAACAAATTTGCCATTAATTAGCAAGTGCTATTTCCAAACTTGTTATTTGTATCTTTTTATGGTGTTTTGTCTGTTACCTTAGCAGAACATTTCAAGATATTTGGAACATGGCTCAAAATGTTTTATACATTTTAATTTCTTTTGCAATCACTAAGAACCTATAAGACATTAGGTAACTCTTCACGCATATCTTTTTTTGGCTGTGGCAGCTGGATTTTTAGGGCTCAGAGCCTCAGAGCCCAATGTCTCCCATCACACCTCAAACAACTACTTCTGGGTTAGTTCCATGGCTGAAGTGTTGCATCCTGCTGCTGCAAGAATGGTGACGGCAGACAATGGCAGGCTCCCCAACTTTCCTAAAGGAAAAATGGGTTAAGCCACCGAAAGAGGGCTTCCCCCCATGTGATGAGGAAGGGGGAAGCCACAATGGAATGGGGCAACAGGTCTCTACGCCCCCTGTGTGACTGCCAGCTGACCCAGTGTTCCATAACATATTTGGCGACACGTGTGACAAGGTTGTTGATGTCTAAGCAAACTGTTTTTTGCAACATGGCCTTATGCTACTACACTTTCTGCCTTTTTCCTTTCACAAGCCATATATATAAGCCATATATTTTAGAAACCAAGGCCAGGGGATAAAATATATTTTTTAAAGTTGTAAAATAAAGTTAAATATTTTGCCTGTAAAATATGATGCAGGTGGTATGCAAATCTCTAATAGTGTGTGAGTTGCTATGACTACCAAAATAGAGCATTCATAATTACATGTGAAACAAAAAGTAATTGCATGACAGGAAATAAGCAGAATAAAAGTGGCATAATTGTCACCTTTCACAGTAAGACACAAATATAGGAAATTAAAGATGTACAAAAAATGTAACCTTATTAAGCTTGTGCTTTTTAGCAGTGGAAAATGACTTCTGTGCTTTACTCATTTTGGTTCTTAGCTAACATAGCAATTCTTGCATACAGGCAGTCCTCAAATTACAACCAAGATAGATTCTGAGGGTTTGCTCTAAAGTTGAATTCGTATGTAAGATGGAACAGGTGCATTTTAAAGTGTAACTCCAGCTGTTTATGTATGTACGTATGTATGTACACACGCATGCATGCTTTGGATAGCATAGAGAAGGGTTAAACTCCTGTAGTATTTGTTTTGCTGTCTGTGGTCCCTGTTCAGAGGATTTAACCTCACTTTCTGTTCTGAAAATTGTATTGTGAAAAACGTGGCTTGTGGAAACAAGGATTGGAAAGAAAGCTTCAATAGAGATACTTCCCCCCCATGATTTTAACAAGTCAGGAAACATGCTGTTTTTAAATTGTGTTCAATTTTAGCTTGTTCTTGTAAGCCGCTCCGAGCCCCGGGGGAGTGGCGGCATATAAGTGTGAATAATAAATAAATAAATAAATAAATAACCCTTTCAGGAGTGAACTCCCCTTCTGAGAGGTAGATTTCTTTCACTTCCTGTTGTCTCACCCCCATTCTTAACTATGAGTCATTTGTAAGTTGGATGTTTGTAACTGGGGGACTGCCTGTAGACTGATGATACGTTAAAAGCCTTTTATTTATTTATTTTAAATAAAAAGATTTGGTTGAGATGGGGGATGAAAAGGTGCAAATAAATTAATTAGTTCTCATATAATTCACAAAATCTTCCTATATGTCAACTGTACGTTTTAGCAAATATTTCATGGAGTAATTTCCCTTACAGTACATTATAAAACAAGACACAAAGGCTAATTATGCACATGTTTGCATATGGGCCAATATTTTATCACTTGGTAACATTATTGTGTAGTGTCCTACATTTGGTTATTTAATTTTTGCTGTTGAGAAATGTGCTACTTAGAGCCTAGTGAACTAATCTGAAATTATTGATTCATCTGTGATGACTACTTTTACATACAAGTTATTATTCCAAGGGATCTTTCACACAACACATTTATCATAGGGTGATTACACTGTAACTCCTGTAACAAAATTTTGTGGATTCTTTCACATTGTAATTTGAAGGGGGTCTAAAGCTTTTTTCAGAGAATTGTAAATGCTCCCCACCCAAAACTACAAAAACTACAACTCCAAGAATGTTTCCTGACTTGTTAAAATTTATTTTATTTATTTATTTATTTATTTATTTATTTACTTTGCTTGTATACCGCAGTTTCTCAGCCTAACAGGCGACTCAACGCGGTTTACAACAAGGGTAAAACAATACACGATATACAATTGGAATAAAATGGAATTATAATTGTATAGCATGAAAAGGCCTCAAATAATGAATTCTGTAAACACCAGATCTTGTCAGATTTTGGACATTAAACATGGTTGAACCTGATTAGTACTTGAATGGAAAACTACTAAAGAATACCAAAAGTTTCCAGGCAGAGCTGGGAAAGAATCTCGTGTGAATCTCTGAACAGCTGCTGAGTCAGGCCTCATCTGCACTGCCATATAGTCCAGTTTCCGACTCCAGATTCTCTGCATTGAACTGGATTATATGGCAGTGTAGACTCATATAATCCATTTCAAAGCAGATAATCTGGATTCAGAGATGGGATTAGATGTAGATCCAGCCCCAGGGCTGTAAATCCTGGGCCATGTAGAACAATAATCAGATTCCATATAAGGCAAACTCCCACCCTCCTATTTGCAAAATCACCATAATGTTTGTAGTTAGGACCTTGTCACACGTGCTGCTCAAATCAGCCAGTCTCACTGTGTTTTGGCAGCACCTGCCCAAAGGAACATGGGTACCTGTCATCCCATGCCCTGCTCAATCCCGGCTTCCTCTCATCACACAGGGAAGGAAGGAGAGTCAGGAAGGTGCCTCACTATTCCTTGGCCCCAGAATCTTGTGTGGACAGCGGCCCCTTGCCCCTGGTGAGAGAGGGCCCCCTCACCACACACACACACTGAGGCACCTTCCTTCCTTCGTGGTACTGGCCACCCCGGAGGCTGCCGGCTTACTCGGCTGCCGACCCTGCCTCCCTGGAGGGGAAGGCTGCAGGAAGGCAGGCAAATACATGGCCCTCTCATCTCTAGACACAGAGCTCCATGCAAAGGGAGGCTGCTGCTGCTTTGGGGCCGCCCCTGCCTTCACCCTGTTTTGAAGGGAGAGGATTGGGGGGTGGCAGTTGAGAGAGCAGGAACTTCTCTTTCTCTGATGGAGGTGGCAGTGGTGAGGGGACGAAGAGACAGGAAGACCCCCCTGTGTGCCAGGAGCAATGGAGAACTGTCAATTCACACTCCTGGTACAGAAGGCTTCCTCCTGTCCCTCTCTACTTGCTGCTGTTGCCTCCACTCCAAAATGATAGCCCCATGAGCCCGCCAAGGGGGGTGTGGGAACCTGCCACCTCACGCACTGTCCCGGCTTCCCCCTGCCCCGTCATACATGAAAAAATCCCCAATAAGCCGCTTCAACCCGTTTTCCCTTCTGGAAAGACAGGAAGCCTCCCATCGTCCCTTGCTGGCTTCTTTTCAATGGTGGCAAAAATTTTTTTTCCAGTTCAGCCACTGAGCTGCCCGGAACTACTTGTAATTGCTGTGATGGGAGCCATCGGGCCCCGTGGCTGAACTTGAAAAATCCCATAGCTGCCAATGAGAGTTTCCCTTGGATGGGATAAGCAGAGGACATAATAATTGTACTGCTTCAGATTTCTCTTCTTTCTGTTTGTCTGAATTTTACTCCAATTATGTATGGTTAATTTAGCAAGTTCCCCAATTGGGCAAATCTGGCAAGGTCATGAAACATAATATTAACTATAAGTTATATCCTCATCAGCCACTCTTCTAGTACTCTGGAAGGCTTCAAATGGTAAATAAGTTCAATAAAACAACTGGGAAGATGGAAGAACAAAACCAAAATAATGGGTTTAATGTATATTTAGTCACCCTTCAAGAAAAATGCTAAAAGCCACGAGAAACCAAGAATGGACCTAAATGATGTTCATGAAGTATGTACTTGAAACATTGATTTCTTCACCCAAAATATGCTATTTTCTAGTGTAGGCAACTTGTTACTAATGCAGGTTAAGTCTTGAACTTGTGAGGATATTTGCCTGTCTTTTCTTCATAGTAACATAAATTTCTTCCTGCTGAAATTCATTTTGTTTATTTTGGCTCTGTTATATCTGTTCAAATATTTTCGAACATTCTTTCCATCCCTATTTGAAAATCAGCCATCATTACTTTTTTTATTCTACAGTAATCATTTAATAAGGAACTAGAAATCTGGTTGAAAGTACTATCCAAGTTAATAGAGAAATGCCTTATTTATTGAATTCTTCCCTGCACTCCTCCAAATTACTTGTAGCCGTTTAAATTATGGCAAACATAGTATTTTTCAGGAATAAATACAATAGATACCAAGTGGAGGTCTCATCTCCTAATGTCACAGGATCACTATAAGAGAAATGCAGGAAATCTGTAGCCATTATTTTTACTACGCCAACAAGACCTTTCTAAAGGCTGTATCACAATATTTTCAATAATGATGGATTTATGTGGTGAGTTTATTGATTGAGCAACTTTTGTTTACTCATTGCAAACAGTGTGATGCTTCTAATGTGTCTGTTTGCCGTGGGTTACATGACCTTGTTGGCTTTGAAACCGCATTGCAATGTCCCATCATTAATTGCTCAGTCTGTTTCCTGGAGGTTATGCTCTTGAAATGAACTTTGGATCAGGTTCAATGATTCAGCATAGCAGAATATTAAGCCATAAAGAATAATGAGGTGTGTTTGTTACACTATGTATGTTTTAAGGCCGTAATTTCTGGATCAGTCTCTGTAAAGCAATTTTATTTCATCCCAAACAGCAATGGTCCGTAATGGCAAAAATGGGGGTCTCCATCTGAAGCAGATCTCATATTACAAACAAACAGGTGGATATCATCCCACAACATTAGCAAGTGAAAGGAGTGGAATAAGGAGAGCTGCCAAAAAGTTTGTCTTCAAAGGTAAGACTAATATTTTTAATTCTTGGGCATTAAAGATATTCCAGTGTGCTTGAGAGCTGGCGTGATGTACTAAACTAGGACTCTGGAGAACAGGGTTTGAATTCCCGCTCAGTCATAGAAACTTATTTGGTGATCTTGGGCAAGTCACACAGTCTCATCCCTAATGGCAAAGGCAACCCTACTCTGAACAAATCGTTCCAAGAAAATTCTGTAACAGGTTCACTTTTGATTTGCCATAATTCAGAAAGGGCTTGAAGGTATGTTACAATGCCAAATATAAAATAGGGGTGGATCATCACATCACATCTGTGAAGAATAAAATCAGAATTAATCTTATTGAAGAGAAAGAGATTCTACATTAAGAAATGTAAATATTGGATGCATTATATATAAATTAGTACATTTTATTCAGGCACTATTTCAATGTAGAAGGTTTTTAAGAATGGGCCAGAGGTGTTATATGGCATTAGGAATTGTTTCTAACAGTTTTTACTTTTAAAAAAATATTTATTTTAGTAATTGTCATATTTAGTTCTTCTTAATACTTATATTTTGTAGATGTTTAATTTAAATTATATAGTTCTTAAGATTGTGAGCTGCTTTGGGTCCCAGTCCCAGGAGAAAATCAGGTAGAAATAAGCGTAATGAAGATTTACTTTTCAGAGAATTTGGTAATTGGAAGTGACCCCAAAAGCCATCTAGTTCAACCACCTAAAAGTACAGGAATTCACAACTCAAGCATGCTTGAGAGGTGGCCATTGATAGAATTATAGAACTGCATTTGTCATTCTTCTACTAGTTTAATGCTGTTTGCTGCGCTGAGATCTTTTCTGTCATGTTGAGGTTGTCATTTGCAGTATTTCTCTGGAATGCTTTGCCTTAGGAACAGAATGTGATGACAGGGGAGGCAGCATTTCAAATGTGACATCTAGCCTTTGGAATTTCCTCTCTGGCATCTGCTTTGATGTCTTGTAGCACCAGACAAGCTTTTCTTCCCAGGCATTTGAACTTTTAAAAGTTTTCAAGGGTGGTGGTTTTATCTCTGCTGTGTTATCTTGAAGTTTATTGCAGGGTTTGCTCTGTTGCATTTTGTAGTTGTCTTAGCCATGTTGTCTTTATTATATGGTTGAGTTATAACAATATAATATTTTACTTATAGGCTGTCCTGGGAACCATTAGAGATGGAGGTAGAGGCCTGCGTTTAGTGAACAAATAAATTGTCACTCATGTGTGACTGTTTTCAGATGTAATTTTCTGTCATTGTAACTGAATATATGCTAGTTATTTGAAGAATATAAGCGGTTGCTCCTGACACAACCAAAAAAAAGCTAAGATTTGTTTTTTTTTTCCTGTTCAAATTTTACCCATGCAGTCTCTCAATTACTAATCCTACCAACCGTGCTAAAAAACCTTGCTGCTTCATCACACAAGAAAAAAATCCACTTAAAATCTGGTTTCTGCCTCCAGCATAATTCTGGGGTTTGTAGTTTAGTGAGGCTGTTAAAAGCTCCTCCCTAAACTACAAACCCCAGAATTCTGAAGGAGGCATATAATCCAGATTTTAAGTGGATTTTTTTTTCTCTAGTGTGATGAGGTCACCATATATTACTTTTTCAGAATGTATGTACTTGGCTTGCAAAATCATGCTAAGACTATTTTTCAGTAGTTTTGAACTGTCCAAATAAGGTGAAACAGTGCAAATAGTATAAAATAACATCACATGCATAATGGTTGCCTTTCAGATAATAAGCTATTCTATGTGGGAAAAGATAAGAGGCAAATGCGCTTGGTAATTCTTTCCAATGAAGAAAAGCGAAATATTTTAGAAAATTGTCATGAAAAACATGAAGGTGGACATCATGGCATATCAAGGACACTGACCCTGGTGGAATCTCAATATTATTGGACCTCCATAACCAGCGATGTTAAACAGTGGGTATGGTTCATGCTGGCATCATATCTTGTATGTGTTTGTGAATTTTTCACACGGATAATATTGGCTGATTGGTTCACAATACTTAGAAACGCTTCTCTTTCCTAAATCCACAGATTTTGCCCTCAGTATTTGTTTGATTTAGTATTAGAGTTCCCAGATTTAAGGTCTGGTTTTGAGACTCACTTCATTAAATGTGTTAATTCTTACATAAAAAAGTGACAAATCATAATTGGGAAAGATATGAACAGCATCTTGTAGCCAGAATCCAGCCCCCCCCCCCCCCCCCCCACTCCACACATACACACACACACACACCTGCTCCGCTGTTGAATGCCAGGCCTGCCTGCACAAACCATTGTTCCAGGAACTGTTGAGAAATTGCTTTCCTGGAAATTATCAGTATCCCTGAAATGAATCAGTGCAGACCTGTGAGCAGAGCTGTTCATGCACCAGGCAGGAACCTAATTATACCCATGAGCCTATTATTCCCCTTCTAGCATATTTTTATGTATTTAAGAGGTTTTTCATGCTACCCAACTGGCAAATTGCCCCTTATGGTTGTTGTTTTTGCTGTTATGAGCTTCGAACCAACTCCAGCTCATGGCAACCCTTTTTTGGTGTGGGGTTTGCTCTTGGTTTTTTTGTTTTGGTTTTTTTTTTGCAGTATTTATCCAAGAAGGTCTGCCATTGCCAGTTATTTCATATCCATAAATGTAGTAGTGGTAGCTCTTACAGTTTTACAGAGCTCCCTTTTCCTAGAAGGTTGCTATAGCATAACTATCACTAAGATTACTGTCATTAAAAAGCAGTTTGAACCTTGCTGATATACATCAATTAGGATTAATCAAGCAGGAGTTATTTAAGTATCATTTACTCTTGAAGGGTTTGCTCCATAATACAGAAATATATTAACAAAAATGCCAAGTTCCATTTCTGGAACTTTTATGTTTCTCAGCAGATGGTTGTGTTGCATACTGAAATGCTTTTGTCAGGGTTACTAGCTGTGTATTTCCAGGCTACATATTAGCTTCAGCTTAATGCTTTGGAGTATGTTGACAGCATGAGGCCTTCTGTTCTGAACAAGTTGTCCAGTCATGGTTATATTGAACCCAGCAAGTCATCTCTTCAAACTAGCCAGCATTGCTTGATAGGATATCAAGGTAACATATGCTAGAGCAGCTCTGGCCGATCTAGCTTTCAGCAGCTGTGTTACTTCTTTAAGGCTTTAAACAGGTCATGAAAGCTCTGTTTAGCAATGTGAATAGGCAAATTAATAACAAGAAATTGGACTCGAGTTGTGTGTCTCCCCCCCCCCCCCAGTCCTTTGTCTTTTATAACTGTAGATGTGGATTTATTTGTTATTGATAGTTGCTAGTCATAAAAACTGCAACAATATATTACATGGTCCATCTGCCTTCAATAATTTGTTAGAACAACAGATACAGATTGAGCATGCCTTATTTGAAATTCCAAAATCGAAAATTGGTTATTATATGTGGTTTAGATAGTCACGCATTTGCTTTCTGGTGGTTCAATGTACACAAATCTTGTCAGCCACAAATTTATTAAAATATTCTACATAAAATTATTTTCAAGCAATTTGTATAAGATGTATATAAAACATAAATGAATTTCATATTTAGACTTGGGGCCAATCTCCAAGATACAGGTATTTCAAAAAAAACGTTTGAAATCCAAAATATTTTGGTCCCAGGCATTTCAGATAAGAGATTCTCAACTTTTACTATCCAAGTAACTGTTTATGAAATGTACAAATACATATGAGCAGGATTACTATTAACAGCAGTTTTATTACCTTCTTTTTTCAGGTATCTGCTTGTCAACACTGCCTGTTAGCAAGGAATACACCTATTGCAGTCTCCAAATTTCACACTGTTAAGTCAGAGGATCCTTGGACTGTACTTATTGTAGACCTATTGGGGCCTTTTAAAGCCACCAGTAAAAATAATATGTATGTCATCCTTCTGACAGATGTCTTCACTAAGTGGGCTGTGGCTTTACCACTGCTTGAGCTTTCATCAGCTGAAGTGGCCAAAGCAATTGTCAGTGTATCATTGTGTTATGGCCCACCTCAGAAGATTGCTATAGATCAGAGAGAAGGGTTTGTTCAACAGGTAAGCAAAGGGAGTTTGCTAGAGAAAATATTGCTTAGTATATCTTTGAAGGGAGTGGGTGAAGTCACAAGTGCTATGATCAGAGTATTTTACAACATGTTCTTAACATGATTACATTTGAAGAACAACTGCAACAGACAGTTTTCTGTCTCAAAGGGTAGATTAATTTGGCATGTACATTGTTAGGTATCAACTTATTGAGATACATTCAGCCAAGGTATAGGTATAGGTCAAGATTGACAAAGCGCAGGCCTTTGGGTATTGTCAGATTGATATTTGCTTCAGCACACGGGTCTCTGCTGAAGACTCCTATACTCATATAAGAGACACAAAATGCTATCTGTTTGGGATTGCACTGTTATTACAAAATAATTGTCAGATAAAACAACGTCAATGTGAAGGGCTTTTTCAAAAACAGTAACTTATTTTTCTTAAAGATCAACTGTGAGCTGCTTGACCACCTTGGGACAAAGGAATTATTAATACCGTATCCTCAAACTGGCTGTAAAAATGAAATTGGCAAGACTATCAGATCTTTCCTTCTGAGATACTGTGCAGAGAACAGCAAAGACTGGGATGACCACTTGCAAGCTATTGCTTATGCATTCAACTTGATTCCTTCAGTATGTATTCAGAATACTTTGTGGGTTGTAGGAACTGGGGGTGAATATATTTTTGTATCACAGTGCAAAAAACAAACAATTCTTTTTTGTTCTTTTCTCTTTTAAAATAGGAAGATAACCAGAGCACACCATATTTTGAAATGTTTAAACGGAATCCATGTATGCCTTTCAGTGAGATTCAGGAAGGAAGGAAGGACTGTATCTTTGGCAGAATTGTTACTGCTATAAAACAAGTCAAGAAAACAGTGCAGGAAATTACAGCTACTAATTGCCTGGTAAATCTTTCTCCTCTCTAGCAAGAAAACAAAAAAAAAATGTACAAATGAATGATGCATATCTGCATATTTATACATAGCAAATACACACGTATTTTTCATGCATAAATTATTACAACTTTTGGAACTAGGGAAGGGTAATAATATTTTCTGAAAGCAGGCACAGTGTATTGAACTGGCCTCCAAAATATAGAAAATATAGAAAACCTACTTCCTAATGTTGAATTATTCAACACAGTACTGAGTTCTCTTTTCACGAACTGCACTGAAACAGGAACCAGTTGTAGCTGGTAAAGGAACCTCGGCTTTATTCTGAACATTTAAATAAAGAATATTTTATTTGGAGAATAGGAAAATGATTCAAAATCAGCCCTGGATAAATAGATAGCCTACAGTGTCACAGAACTTTATGTTTCAGTTTCAGATGAAACAACTGTTTGCTTTCTGGGTTATAAAAATGTATAACTTAGCCAGTCTGCTACTGAACACAATTAAAAGTGCTGTCTTTAGCCTATAAAGCCCTAAAAGGTTCCAGCCCAGTTTACCTGTCCGAACGTATCTCCCTCTATGAGCTGGCAAGGAGATTTAAGATCTTCTGGGAAGGCCCTGCTCTTGATTTCGCCTCTTTCGCAGGCACAGTTGATGGGGATGAGAGACAGGACCTTCTCAGTGATAGCCCCCCGGCCATGGAATTCACTCCCAAGTGAAATTAGATCAACCCCCTCCCTCCGGACATTAGGAATAGGCTAAAAACATGGATGCTCAATCAAGCATTCAATGATTAATCTATCAGTGCAATAAGAAAAGATGAAATAGTGCAATGACAAATTGGAATGGCCGCGAAGTACAGTATTGGTTTGTGTGATTTTAAATAATTGGTTTTAAGGTTTTATATGTTTTAATGATTATTTTGATTGTTTTAAGGTTTTATATGTTTTAATGATTGCTTTGATATGTTTTTATTGTGTGTGTTTGTGGCATCTTATTGTTACCTATATATGTAAGCAATCCTGAGTCCCCATCAAAGTCAAGAAAGGTGGGGTATCAATACAGTTAATTAATTAATCAATTAATTATGGTTCACCTGCGATATTAGTCCTAAATATTCAATATTAGATCCTATTTGATCTTGGCATAGAAACAGGGTCAGCCGTGGTTAATAATAGGATGAGATTTCACAAATGACTAGCAGGTGGTGTAGGCTATGTTTCAGGGGAAGGAATTGGCAAATCCACCTCTGAGCATTCCTTATCCAAGAAGACCCTATGCAATTCACAAGTCTATTAGCAATTTTGAAAGTAGGTACTCATATACTTACACAGACTTGTTGGTTTCTTGTAATGACAGAAAAAGTCCTTCAGCAAATATTGGAGATGGCTAAATTCTCCTTTCCATGCAGCCCTCACATGCCCTCAGCATCTCCTCCACAAGTCTAAAAATCTCTCCAAAGCAAGTTTCAAGTGTTATGGAGTGGTATAGCAAAGAGATACTGAATTAAGGAATCCTGTTACCTTTGCACAGGGGCTGTATTGTGATGGGAGATAGACCTCCAACATGGGTTTCTTGTATCAATGCAAGGACCCAATGGAACTCTACACTCCCAGATTTTAGTCTATAAAATTACCAGTTTAAAAGCCCACAGTCAGCTACAGTCTGTTTTGAATTAACTAACTAGTAAATGCCATGTTGCAAAAAAAAAAGGTTCCAATAAAAACATACAATGCAGTCAAAGAACAAAATGGATTAAGGACTTTTCCTGAGGGGCACTTAAAGAGCACATTCATCTCCCAAGAAGTGAACCTTAAAGTTGTAACAAATCTTTTTCTTCTTTCTTAGGATCTGAAGAAAATACATATAGAAGATCAGAATGTGAACAAGGGCTCTGTTAGGAAGAAGCCAAAGCATCTAAAACCACCTCTTCTTAAAGTGGGTCATGAAGTTTTTCGACAAAGGAAAAACTGGTGGAAAGATGGCCGTTTTCAGTCTAAATGGGTTGGCCCTTGTATTATAGACTACATCACGGACAATGGCTGTGCAATATTAAGAGATGCTGCAGGCTCAAAGTTGAAAAGACCTATTAAAATATCTCACCTGAAACCTTATGTAAGAGGATCATACAAACAAGGTGAAGTGTAGTCATCTTTTTATCCATTTCCATCTGTTAAATAAGGGAATAAAAAGTGAAGACCTTCCCATAAAAACAATTTAGTCACATGTTCTATTTAGTCACTGTATGTGACTTGGTTCTTCTCTGTTAAATTGAGGATCCTTGTCCCTAATGGCTTGGAAGCAGGCCCATTGTTTGATATTGGAAATCAATCATTAGGATTAAAATGCCTTGTAAATAAACCATTGTAACTTTATTTTGTCTAGAAAGTGATGTCTGCTAAGAAGAAAACTTATTTTTAACAGAATGGAATATTTTTGAATTGTTGTATGTAATCAATCACTGAAAGCAGGGCTCAGATGCAAAATGAGATGTCAAGTACTTCCTCTCTCTTTATTGAAATAATTGGGCTGCAACCATTGAATGCTTCATATTGTTTAAAGCACCTGTGATACATCTATCTCCTAAAATAGTCCATTCATTTGTTCAGAGGATAAGTATTTCCATGACGTCTGCAAACAGATCTGGCTTTTTGTCCTAGCTGTGGGAAGATAATTGAAATATTTAATTTCTCTCTTCATTCTGGTTGCAACAGGGTCAGCAATTTCATTTTCTTCAGTGCTGTTTCATTTCCTCTAAGCCACTGCTGAGTCATTGCGCATAATATTTAGAGAGGAACCAACAGCTGCAGAGTGCAACAACCTGAGCTGGAGCACAAAATGGGCCTGAGGTTGGAGGAAGCTTGATAGGAAGCACAGTGACCTCTTGACCACTGTTTCAAGGAAGCCCTTTATAGGAAAATTTAATCTAGTTTTTTTTAAAACATCAGATATTCAAAATTAGAAAACCAATTAATAACAACAATAACACTTCATTTGTATACTGCCCTATCTCCTTCAAGGGGACTCAGAGCGGTTTCCAATATATAAGGAAAAACATTCAATTGCCAGAAAGAAAAAGCATACAGACAAATTAAAATAAACATCATAAAACATAAAAACCTGCTAAAACATACAAATTTCATTATAGCTCCATCAGATGGGTTCAAAATACAATAGCCAAGATTAGAAAATAGACATGGCCAACTAGAAAAAGGGCTGGGCAAGGGGTGGGTCTACTCTCTTCTTTTTTACATAATGGCTTGATTGTAGTTGCTCATTAGTTTTTACAAAATAGAGCATAGAATAGAGCAGAGAGCACAAAAATTTGATAAGATCATCCATGTTTACAAAGAGAATAACACATCATAGTTATTTTTTAAAGAAAATCCATTAAAAAGACAATAATAAAAAAAACATTTATTCATCTTGCTATATTATATGGAAATGCTATCCCACATAAATCAGATCCATCCATTCATTCTCTCTAATTAGCACTGTTAACTGGTACACACAACTGCTTTGTTGAAACAACTGCACTTTTTTTTTGTCGTGTCAGGAGCAAGTCGCTTCTGGTGTGAGAGAATTGGCCGTCTGCAAGGATGTTGCCCAGGGGATGCCTGGATGATTTGATGTTTTTATCATCCTTGTGGGAGGCTTCTCTCATGTCCCCGCAAGAAGAGCTGGAGCTGATAGAGGGAGCTCATCCGCCTCTCCCCGGATTCGAAACTGCGACCTGTCGGTCTTCAGTCCTGCTGGCACAGGGATTTAACCCCCTGCGCCACCAGGGGCTAACAACTGCACTGCACAGTTCAAAGTGCTGGTTATGACCTATAAAACCCAATATGGCTCAGGTCCAAGCTATTTGGCAGGTTGTAGCTCCCTCTATGAGCAGGCCCTGGTTCTGAGATTCTCAGGAGAGATCCTTCTCTCAGTCAATCACCATTGCTAGTACGGCTGATGGGGATGCAAGAGAGGGCCTTCTTTGTGGCTGCCCCTCGACTCTGGAACAACTCCCTTCCCAAGGGGTTTCAGAGCCTCCCCTCTCCCCTGGCACTTTGTCCTTATGGCTTCCTTTTCAGTCAGGTTTTTAAAACAGAAAGTTTTTAAAGGACTTGCTAGGCTGTGCTACATTGTTTCAGGTTTTAAACAGCTTTTTATTTTTCTATTTTTAAACTGTATTTTAAATGAATTGTTTTAATGCTTTATGTTCCAATCTTGGTGACAAAACATGATGCTGGTGATACTACTACTACTACTACTACTACTACTACTAATAATAATAATAATAGCAATTCCCATTAGAGATTGGTCTAGGCAAATATGTATGTTGGTGCTGGTACAGTATGTCTGTACAAGTATTCCTTGCTCTTGATTCATAGTTGCATGATATAGTTCATTCTAGCATTAACCAGCCATTTAACATCATTGCCAGACTAACTGAAGCTTGCTTGGTTGATTTTTCTTCCTGATAATGCTGGGATATGGTTAAATGACTTCTAATCAAGCTTTATTTCCTTGTTGCAGATAACTGTCCAGTTTGGCCAAGTGCAGTAGCAGCCGACCATGACTATGCTGGTTCAGCTGAAACAGCCATAGAGCAGAGCTCCAAAGTTGTATGCTCTCCCAAAGGATTTCCTCCTCTTGTTCCTGCTGATGCCTTGCTGGACAAGGACCTTGTATTATCAGAATGTGAACATGATGCACAGCCAGAATGTACAAAACCAGATTCCATCGAACCAGCTATTGTGAACACAGACCATTGGTCTGCAACTTACTGGACTCTCCAAAATAAGTCTAGGACTACTTGAATTAAGTACAGTATGATTTGATTTCCGTACAAAATACTTCAACATACTCTTTGTTACATTTGCCAAGAACTAAATGTTGGATACTTCTGGATTTGCCTAGATGACTCCCCATAAAAGCTATGTTTACATGTGGTGTAGCTTCCTTCCCCTCTCTCCCTTCAGATCAGCCAAGAGACTTAGTGTTCACAATTTCATTTTTGCTAACACTGGACGAGTTATTTCCAGTTATATTTCAACCAGATTAATGGTCCCATTGTTAACTATTTTTAACAACAAAAAGCAATTATTAATGATTCTGGCTCAAAGCCAGTTTCAGGAAAATGTCTCTTCCCCCATTCCCCCTTTTCTAGTTGAGGACCTCATTCCCTCAGTAATAATTTCAATATGAAAATACCTAAACTATACAACTTTGACACCTAAAAGTAAAATAAATCAAGTTCCTGTTAACAGCTCAAGCATTTGCCATTAAAAGAATATGCAAAACTTCACCAACTTCTGTAATTTATATTTCAATTGTCTTTAGACCAATCTGTTGTTTATTGTGTGGGTTCTGCCACCTGGTGGAGTATTTAAAAAACTCCAGAGGATGCAATGAAAGACATGTGTTCAAATAATAGTCTGGTTTATATTAAGTCCTAAATATAAGTGGCAAATCCTTTCAAGCTACACTTTGTCCAGTTGGTTGGTGTTGCATGTTTATTTCTTCCGCCATACAAAAAATACATTTTTACACATAAAAAGTAAATGAAAATAGAAAAGTTCTGGCCAGTTGTTCCACATAATGTTATTTCCCTCCTTGAGTTGGGTACAGATGTGTATTCAGTGATGAGCATATAACAAGGCTGCAACACTGCAAGTAGTTTGTCCTTCTCTGGGATGCCTTACAGGTTTCATCCCTCTGTGTTAGAGGAGAGAATTACATGGACAAAGGTAACTGTTGCATGAATTCTAATAATCCATGTGTAGAGTTGGAAAATTTTCTAAGGAAAATTTATTTTGCTCAGAAATAAATTATATTTTGACAGTATCTTAAAAATACTTTCTTTGCTAAATAACAATACATAACTGAAAGCCAGAATTGTGTAGTAGTTTGAGAGTTGGGCTAGGATTCTGTTTGGCCATGGAAACGTGGTGATGTTGGGCAAGTCATATTCTTTCAGCCTCAAACAAAAGCAATTGGAAACCTCTTCTGAATAAGTCTTGACAAGAAAATCCCACAATAGGAAGCCAGACTTGGCCTTGGCAGTCCACGTGTTGGTTGCATTTAGAATAGACTACTGCAAGAACTGTTTTTGTGATTGCCTTTGAAGACTGTTCAGAAGCTTCAAATTGTTCAGCGGGTGACAGCCAGACTGCTCACTAGAGTGGTGTACAGAGGGAGGACATCCCTCTTGATGCGTCAGATCCATTGGCTGCCAGTCTTCTACTGAGCACAATTCAACGTGCTTATAAAGCGATAAACGATTCCAGCCCAGCTTACCTGCCTGAAAGTATCTCCCTCTATGGTATACCTCGGAGGTTAAGATCATCAGGGGAGGCCCTGCTCTCAGTCCTACCCCCCTCAGAAGCACGATTGGTGTGGACAAGAGACAGGGCCTTCTCAGTGGTGGTCCCTTGTCTATGAAACTCCCCCCCCCAGTGAAATTAGATTGTCCCCCTCCCTCCTGACCTTCAGAAAAAACTAAAAACTTGGCTTTGGGGTCATGCTTTTGATCAATAATGGGAGCAAGGTAATAAGAGATTATAAATTAATTTTAATGATGACCTGGACTGGCCTTGGAATATGACCTGGACTATGTGGTTTTAATTGTTGTTTTAATGTTATGTTTTAATTGGATGGTTTTAATGTTTTGTTTATCCATTGATATATGTAAAAATGCGGCATTGAATTCTTGCTTTTGTAAAGCTGCCTTGAGTCCCATTCGGGGTTGAGAAAGGCGGGTAACAAGTATGGTAAATAAATAAATAAATAAGGTCAGCATGTTGGAAATTCCTTGAACATATACAACAACAATGCATACTCTCTGCCTAGATTCTTCCTTGTAGGATAAGTCATTTGTAGACAGTATTCAGAAGGATTCATTTAGATGGGTTTGTATTCAGGATTGGCCCCCTCTTGAGATGAAGTGATGCCCTTTGCCTCAGGAAATGAATTGGGAAGATCAGAAAATCCTAGTACATTTTGGTGGGCACTTTGAAGAGTTTCACTACTCATCATTCTATTGTAATTTTCATTGTGGAAAAGTAATTGGCAGGGTTCAGTTGAACAGTTGCATATCATATTACTTTCAGGAAGTTTTTATAATTTTAAATAAGATTTCTTTGAGGAGCTCGTGAGGCTCAAATGCTGCATCCTAGGCCAGTCATGTGGTGGACATGGCTCTAGAGACTGTCTGTGCTTGTAGCATTGGATGAAAGCAGTGTTTGTTCTCCTCATAAGGAACTAGGCATCTTGGACTAAGACTGTTTCTGTTTGACCACAAAGTATTTTAATTGACTTTTAAGTTACACATGAATGCCATATAAAAATTTGCAGAAAGCAGTCACATCAGCCCATACTACTTAGCAGATCTGTCTTTTCAAGCCTACTTCTGATCACAAAATTTACATCTTCAGCACATCTTCAAGTTCAATCAACTCTTTGAAAGTTGAGAGAAGCATTTTTCCTAACAGTTCTAATAAGCCTGTCAAGAGCAACATGCAAGCTTCTGGGAAACTACTGAACTGTCTCAATTTTCCAAGCAGCAATTTCACAAGCTGTAGAGAAAACAGGCATTTGTGCAAGAGCAGCTAGAATAATCTCTCTTCAATAAATAAATTGTTTCTACTTGATGCAATGCTCTCTTTAAAACAAACTCTCATTGTAACTTGAAGTTCACTATGTGTGCTAGGACAGAAAATTCCAGTACCTGTGGGCCTTTAAGCAAACAGATTAAAACATTCTTGGTTTAGGTCGGATGAAAGGAGCTCACAGTTCTTTAATATCAAATATCAACATTCAGGTGACATTCAGCAACACAGTTTTGCTAGAGTTTCCCTGGTGTGTGTGTGAAGTTAAATATGTGGGGAGAAGGATGGAAGACCTGAACATTTTTCTAAGAAAGTGTGAAAAACAGAAACCTTACTCTACCGTACTTCTTATTTCATCTACAATTTTTAAAAAAACTTGAATATTTAAATGCACAACCAGTTTGCACAGAAGCTTCTACATGGAATTGCAAATTGCAACAATTAGTGTAGAGCAGGATATATGGTATATAAAATAGGTATACAAATCAAACATTTACTGGCAAGAAGTCAAAAGAAAAAGTAAAAGCAATTCTTTAGAATACCTATTTCATTAAAGACTAAAGCACATTTGCATACAAATAGATGGATGTGTGTGTTTATTTTTACAGAGAGAATTAAATCTTGTCTGAACATTTAATTCTACAGGACATAAAGCAGGCATGGGCAAACTTATTTGCCTTAGGGCCACATTGTGGACCTGGCTGGGAGGGCTGGGCCAGGAGGGAGGAGGGCGGGACACATGTGGGGCAGGGAGGGCCCAGGAGAGGGCAGGGTCAGGGCAGGACCCAGGTCACCTTCAGGTTGTCCTCCCAGCATAAGGGCTTGCCGTATCATCTTTATTCTGGAAGGAAGGCGGGAGATGCGGCAAATCAAAATGTGGAGGGACATATTTCTGAAACTGAAAAGCAAAATTAGCATTTGCAAGACTTGCTAAAGAAGGCAGGCTGATATTCCCTTTTTATGAAGTATAGCTGAATTATTTGCTGAAGGCTGTTGCTAATTCATGTAAATGTCTATAAGAGCCACTACCTAACAAGGTACACATTTTTGTGACCCCATATTCAGTTACAGGACCCCAAATGGATGTAGAGAAGGTTTGAGGGGGAAATTTAAACAAGGTAACAGTTGCCATAACCTGGGAGGTAATAGGGATTTTAGAACAGGAGTCCAAACAAAGCCTGGCCTCTCCTCTGCAATGGTAATAGGAGAACCTATTGCAGGATTTCTGTAAACTGCATTTGACATCAACACAAAAACACAATGAACCACACAGGATTATACGCAATATCCAACATAAACTTCTGCATCATGTTCATAATTCTATATATCTCTGTGTTATTTGTTGTGCACCAACTTTTATGGCCACTGGTCTCAAATGATTTTTCTGAAATGTATCATCAGAAAACTCTGAAATGCCAGCGTGTGCTCTTTGCAAGTCATATCAATTTGTGTATAATTGCTTATTTGGGGTGGGGGTGGGGGACTAAGTTGGAAATGATGGCAGACATTTCAAAACTTGGCTGGTATTGGCTGCCATTAAAGTTAAAGTGCCCAGTTTCAAGTCAAAGCATTGAAACTCCAAACAGAAATGGGGAACCTCCCAGAAAGAAAAAGAAAGTGGCTTGGCATCACTCGGCAGGAAACCATGGCAGATGTCCCAGTTGCCAGTTTCAGGTGGAAATTCCAGCTTGCGGGGCGGGGGGGGGGGGGGGGGCTTCTTGTTAGTAAAGGATGAAGTTAACATTACTCCCGAAAGTATTGCTAATGGGCTAGGAAACAGAAACAGCTCTTTTAGGCACTGCTATTTAGATCCCAAAGCTGAATGGGGACGTTTATGTTTTAAAAAAGTGGGGAAATGACAGACAACCGGTAAACTTACCCGGGGAAAGGAGCATAAAACAGTAGAACACATATATCACTTTTAAGCATAGTAGACATGCACCTAATGTGCGTCAGGAACGTTTCAGTAAAAACAAAGGACTATCTAAGGCAGTGATGGGTAACTGTGAGAGGCAGCTGCCAATTCTCCTTGGATCCACTATATTCACAAGCTGTACCCCATCTGTTAGACCCAGATACTTTTATTTTTTTTCTATAGACCTCAAAATGGCAACAGGAACTTCAGGTGCATCTCTTCCTGTTTTGAGAATAACTGTCAAAGGGGATATTTGGGTTCAGGGTTATGGGATTCTTGTGAGGGTTCCACAGCCACAACAACAGCAACCAACATATGACCTTTCCCCACTAAGCCATTGTAGAGATTCCTGGAATAGGAAATAGGCTATGGTATTGCTGCTAAAATTGCTGAAGTTGAAAATAGGGCAGGAAAATGGGAGAGATCTATCTGTGATAATGCTCCCAAGGTTCCTCAGGTTAAAACGGGGCTGGGGCAGAAGGCACCAGGGACCTTTCTGAGATATTGGATACTTGACACCGGGTATAGGTCGGTTACTATAGCAATAAATGTTATCTTATTCCTTCCAGATCTCTTCTTGTAGAAAATTATTATCTGTAAACCTGGAATAGGAAAATTTAATGAATTAAAAGCCTATGACACTGATGCAAAATTCATTACCCTATTTACAACCTTAATATTGCAAGATGCACGATTACTGCATTGTGGACAACTGAGAGCCCACGGGTCAAATCCAGTAATGTGGGGAGCCTTTAAGATTTTGATCAAACTCGACTGAAGGTTGCATACTTGCTGCCACAAAAAATACAAGATTGCTAAAGCAACTTGGTGTTGCATAGATCAGTTAAAAATGCTTTTGGGGAATTCCCATGAGTTTTATTGGTTGCGTGCCTTCAAGTTGTTTCTGGCTTTTGGTAGCCCTAAGGCAAACCTATTGCAATATCGTATTGACAATATATTTTCCAAAAGAGATTTGCCTTTGTCCTCCTCTCAGGCTGAGAAAGCCTGATTATTTATTGCCTGTTGTTCCAGAGTCTTACTCAACACTCAAACAGCTACATCGTGCTCACTCTATTCCCATAAGATATGTGCAGTCAGCCCTAAGTATCCACAGGTTCTGGATCCACAGATGCAACCATCTATGGCTTGAAAACATTTTTAAAAAATCCACAAAGTAAATCTTGATTTTACCATTTTATGTACAAGACACCATTTTACTATGCCACTGTATATAATGGGTCTTGAAAACCCATGGAACCAAGCCCCAGTGGATACTAAAGATCCATTGAAATAATGAGTTTACAGCATAAAAGTTGACATTTTTGCCCTTTTAACCACTAGGTGGCAGTCACTTGTTACAGTCTTATGAATTTTGACTATAAAAGCAAAAGTCCAACAATAAAGAACTACACTGTACACATTTGCTGATTGTGTTCAAAGTAGGGATGGAAAGTCTATGGTTGGTGCTTACTTTCTAGCAAAAAGAAATAGTTGTGAAATTATTTGAAATTTAGGAAACCTTTGAGGGCTGTTTGTGCAAAAATAGAGGTCACTTTTCTGCATTTAGACACATGCACAAAATACCCCTGTACCTGCAGATGACAAAAAAAATGTTGAGAAACATTGCCCAAAAAGATGTATTTCTCTGCAAAACACTCCCTGTAAACAGCAACTGAAAATTCTATAGAAATCATCATTTTCTCTTGCAGAAGACTGAAAACTACAGAAATGAGTCATTCCTACCTGGAAGGACAATATATGTGAATACTTATATTACTAATTAAGGTTTGGCAGGTATTTTTATTATAAGGGATGTCCCTTATATGGCTGGCAGGTGTCCCTTATTATGGGGGATTCCACTTTCTGAAGACTGGAAAACATTACCTTTTATAGACTGAATGAGATGCAACAAAATCTTACTAGTTGTGGTGTGGGTCCTTCATAAAGACAGAAATAATTTATTTATGTTGACATGTTTTGACTGTATCGTATCCTGTCTTCAGCCCTAAGAAGAGGTGGGTAACAAATAAAATTTATTATTGTTGTTATTATGAATGTGGCCAATATGTTAATTTTACAGAGGAATTACCCAAGTAAGATAACAGAAATCAATACATACTTACATTTGGTATTTAAGCAAAACACAAACATGTTAATAGTTACTATTGCAAACCCTGTGGTGTTAGGAATTTTGGCTGAGATTTAGTGCTATTTTTAAAACCTGGCAACACTACTATAAGAAGATAGCACCAGGAAGTGGGGAGCAAA